GCCATTTCTGAAGAAGGGTCCCGACCCGAAACGTCAGCTTTCCTGCTCCTCTGATGCTGCCTGACCTGCCGTGTTCCTCCAGCTCCACACTGTGTTATCTATTAATAATTTGTTACAATCCTTGATTTGTTGCTAATCAGACACATTTTGAATTTAATGCTCCTATCCTGGTTTTTGAGCTTCTCCATGTGCTCAGCCCTCCCCAACTCAGTAATTTCCTCCAGTTACAGACCTCTATATTCCTTCAATTCTGGCTTATTGAGCATTTCTGATTGTAATTGTTCAACCATGGCAGCTGTAATTTCAGCTACCTAAACCCCATGTTCTAGAATTCACTCCCTAAACCTCTCCACGTCGCAGAGCTCCTGTTAAACTATTCCTTAAAACCTACCACTTATAAAATCTTTTTGACATCTGGCCTAATAGCTCAAGTGGCCTGGTGTCACATTTTGTCTAGTAATATTTCTATTACACTCCTTGAGCTGTTTAATTATTTTAAGAGCCTTATATAAATGAAGTTCTGGTTGCTCTGCAAGGTTCTTTGCCGCATATAGAGTACTGTCTACAGCTTTTGGGCCAGATTTTCGTGTAGCTGGATGCTCCGGGGGTCTTTAAAAATGGTGGGCAGAACTCAATTTTGGGACTCCCAGTCCCATCCTCGGTACTAGCAATTTTCATTACTGTGAGGTCAGGGTGTGTGTAGTAAGTCTGCACCAGCACTCCCTGGTCAGTTGCATTGCTATAGTAGGCATCTCATTACCACCATGCTTCCAATTCTCATGGAGTTGGGCTAACTTCTTGAGGACACACAGTTTACTGCTCCATAAAGAGAACTACAGTCTAGTTTGGAAAACTTTTTTAAAAAAGTTATTTTTAAAAGCTCTCATCAATGCCTCCAGTATGCATGATAGAACCAACAAATCATATGATTACAAGAGGAAGACTTAAAACATACTATCAAGAATAGCAAAATAAAGATCTTCTTTGGAAAGAACTGCTTCCTTTATAACCTTATAAAAGAATCAGACACAGAGTCTTAGCTTCAACAACAGAAATTGTACCCTATTTCACACTTGGTAATCTTGTCCAAGTAAACAGACATTGAAAAACTCAAAGAATAACATCATAGCCTCATAAAATATCAATAAAATCAAAGCAAACACTCCACTTCAAGCTGTGTAAACAGATCTGCTCTTGATCTAATCCATTAGTGAGTCTTGGAGCTCTGCCAAGCATTCATGACAAGGTCATCTAGGAACTGTATCAACAAAAACAAAAGGACATTTTTCAGACACCTCCATGGCCACATCAAACTGTTTCTGGATTTAGTAGGCCTGATGCAATCCTAGCTCTATTTCTTTAGAGTGAAAACTGTTCATGTAGGGAAATGTTCCAACTTATGTGACTTATCTCAATGACAAAGTTCGACCAACAGTCTCCTTACTTAAGGAGGAATGGACTTGGGTTGTAAGAAGTTTGGAAAAGTAGACTAGGCTGATTCCTCAGATTAAAGAATTTTTTATGAGGAAAGGCTGAGCAGGTTGGACTTCCACTCATTGAAGCTTAAATGAACAAGGTTTCTTATTGAAACATATGTAATTTTGAGGGGGTTGTAGGGGGGCAGGCTTAATAGGTTAAATGCTGGGAGATGCCCTTCCCCACCCAGACTGAACTGCGGAACTCAACAAGCTAAATGGCTGAGTCCTGCTGTTACTTCTTACGATCTTATTATGATCGCCACAACAAGGAATATGGTTGATCACTTCAAAAACAGCTGAGAGAGACTAGAAAAAATCCTCAATGCAGGGAGCACTACTGTGAAAACAGGTAGGGCAAAAGGAGTGGAAATCAAGAAAGAGCAATATCAAACTTGAGTTACATGAATACAGAGGGAAGGTGAAAGAAGACAAGTCACTCTGCTGTCTTGATTTTAGCAAAATAATAAAACAGAATAGTACATGTGTGATGTGTTTGAAGGCTAACATACCAACAATGTGCTCAACATTTAAAAATTAAACTGATTTTCTCTTATCAAAGCAGACAACTTCAAATTTCCCACATTATAATTCATCTGCCAATTTTTTGTCTATTCATTTAATCTATTTCCATGTTGTTTAGAATCATAGAAAGGTTGCAACATTAGAAGAGGCCATTCAGCCTTCATGTTTATGCTTGCTGTCTACAACTTCAATTCACCTAGTGCCACTCCCCTGACTTTTCACCATAGCCATGCAAATTCTTCCTTTTCAGAAAATTATCCCATTCCCATCGGACAGCCTCAGTTGGTGCCGCCTCTACCACATTCTCAGGCAACATGTTCCAGATCCAAACCGCTCACAACTTGAGAAAGACTTTAGAACATAGAACATAGAACATAGAACATAGAACATTACAGCGCAGTACAGGCCCTTCAGCCCTCGATGTTGCGCCGACCTGTGAAACCAATCTGAAGCCCATCTAACCTAAACTATTCCATTATCATCCATAGGTTTCCTTGTCTTGCAATCGCTTCTTTTGCCAATTGTCCGAAATCAATGCCCTCTGGTTCACAATTCTTCCATCTATAGGAGCAATTTCTCCCTACCTGTCCAGTCCTATGATTTTTTCATTATTTTGAATACCTCCATCAAACGTTCTCTTCGTGGATTTTTCATTTTGAATAACCAAAAATGGCCAAACCTCTTCTCAACAATTTCATTTAAATTCATTACCCATAGTACCCTGTATCCACTGGAATGCTATTCTATCATTTAGCTCATATGATATAATATACTGTGCAGTGATTATGATCACATTGCTTTTCGTGGGATCTTGCTCTACTCAAAATGGTTGCCATGTTTCCAATGTTACAAGTCAAAAGTACTTAGTTGACAGTAAAACGTTTTGGGACATCAGGTAAGCGAGTAAGGGGTTATATAAAAGCAAGTCTTACTTTTGTAAAGTAAATTCTATGAACATAGATTCCATTTTTTTTCCTTAAAATGCATCATCAGCAGATAGTGGAGAACGTGCAAATTTCCAATTTGCACCCTGAGCAGATGAGGCCTACCCCAGGAGCTTGTCTTTATAAAATGTGCTTTAGAAATCATTTCAGTCATGCACTATAACAATAAAAGAATCACTTACTGGGATAGTTCACCTTTTCCTTTGGTTTGACTTCAGCTTTCTTCCTACTTGTTTTCTGAGAGGCTGCAGGTAGTGGAGGTGGTATGTAGTAATTTACAGATGTCCCCTAGTAAAAGAAGCACAATATCAATGAAGGCTTGACAGTAATTATTTATTTCATATTTTAATCATCTGAATGATGTCTCCTTCTAACCGTTTGAAACAAGAATAAACATTATTAACAAACCCCCTCTTTGTAAATATCACACTAATTTCCAAAAAGTAGTAACATTCAAGTAATAGTAATACCTGCACTCAGGAAAACACAGTCACCTACAAATCACAGAAACAAACGTACGCAAGGTAAATTGTCTACTTACTTCATCTGGCTTGAAACAGGGATCAACCCTTTCATCCGCCAGCATACCATAACAAAGAAAATTCTCTGTTGATTTGATCAGAGACTCCACACTATTTATAATATGGATTCAAGTGTGGATAGATAATGGCAAGGAGATAACAAACAGCATGGAGAATTGTTAAACATCAGAGAATGTAGATTAACAGAAGACAGCTGGAAGATTCAAGTTAATGTAGACTTGTACATTAAGGTCCCTTTGTTCCTCAATATTCCCTAGGGAACTACCATCTGTTATGTATATCCTTCCTTTATTTGACCTCCCAATAGGCATTATTTTGTATTTATCAGGATTAAATTCCACCTGCCATTGCACTGCCCGATTTACCAGCTGATCAATGTCAGACTACCCTGAGACCATCCTCCTCATTTATCAACACCCCACACCCCGATTTTTGTGCCTTTTGCAAACTTACTAATTAAACCTTTTACATTCACCTCCAAATTGTTCATATACATAACAAACAGCAAGGGGCCCAGCACCAATCCCTTTGGTACACGGCTGGTCACAGGCTTCCAATTACAAAAACAGCCCTCCAACATCACCCTTTGTCTCCTATTTACTGGCCAATTTTGGAACCAGTTTGCCAACTTGCCCTGGATCCTACAGGCTCTTACCTTTTGGACCAGCCTTCCATGTGGGACCTTGTCAAAGGCCTAAGATAAGTCCATGTAAACCCTATCAACTGCACTACCCTCACCAATATGTTCAGTCACCTTTTCAAAAAGTGCAATTGAATTAGTCAGATAGAATCTCCCTCAAACAAATCCATGCTGACTATCCCTGAACAATCCCTGCCTTTTTAAGTATCGATTAATCCCGTACTTCAGAATTTTTTTCAATAATTACCCAACTCTGTTCTTGACTAATTTGTCTGAAATTACCTAGCCTATCCCTGCTGCCCTTCTTGAACAAAGGAACCACATTAACTGTCCTCCAGTCATCTAGCACTTTGCCTGTGGCGAAGTATTAAATAAATCCACCAGTGCCCCAGCAAACTCCTCCCTTGTGTCACATAGCAGCCTGGGATGTATCTCACCAGGCCCTGGGGATTTATGCACCTGTATGCGTGCTAAAATGTCTAATATCTCTTCCTTATTAATCTTAGTTTCTCAAGTCGAACTAGAACACAGTTGTCAATTACCATAGGAACATTTAATTAAAGGACAGAGGGAGAAAAGAGCTTGCATTTTTATAGAACTTTTCATGATCTTGGGATATTTTAAAGTGTTTACAACCAATAAAGTACCTTTTCAATTGAATGTAATACAAATGTCACGGCAGCCAATGCATGCGCAGCAAGATCCTTAAGAACAGTAATGTGATATTGACCAGAAATCTGAAAGCTTCCTTCTGTTTTTTTTAAATTCATTCACAGGGTGAGGGTGTCGCTGCATTTATTGCCCATCTTAAATTGCCCAGAGGGGAGTTAAGAGTCAACCACATTACTGTGGGTCTGGAGTCATGTGTAGGCCAGCCCAGGTAAAAAAGGCAGTTTCCTTCCCTAAAGGACATTAGTGAAGCAGATGGGTTTTTCCAACAATCGACAATGGATTCACAGTCATCGTTAGACTCTCAATTCCAGATATTTATTGAATTCAAATTCCATCATTCTGTTTCTTGAGATAGTGCCATGAGAAGTGGTCAGGGCTTGTTTTAATATCTTATCCAAAAGGCGGAACCTGTGACAGTCCAGCACCACCTCATTACAGTGTACTGCACTGGTGGTGTCAGCCTACATTATGTGCTCAAGTTTCTACAATAGGACTTGAACCCATGACTTCCCAACTCAGAGGCAAGAATGTAACCCATTGAGACACAGACATAAACCAGCAAAGAGCAAATGCAGGCACAAAGTGAGCAGGTATTATGGTGCCACCCACTTCATGTCACTTTCCATTGTCATCCTGGCTCAAGCTACATCCACCAAGCAAACAAACAGAATACAACAGAGGGAAAGAAAGAACAAAGCAGAGATACAAACCAAACAGTAGAGAGACAACCAGAAATTAGGAAAAGACAGAAGCAACACCTGAAAGAGAAAGTCAACAAAAATAAAGGGTATACCCTGCCATTTATCTTGAGCAATCCCATCAGTATAATTAAATAGTTTTGACCAGATGAAACCAGTATTTAATTCAAAGCATCTGGAGGAATATTCATATCTCTGCAGTATTTGGTAAAGTAGGTCTCAGCTACGTTGGGGTGAAACAAGAGATAGGCAAGAACACGCATCACACACTCAGTTTGAATCATGACCTTGTGACCTAGTGTCATTCTAGTGAATCTCTGCTGTGCTCTTTGAATGATTTCAATATCCTTTCTCCATTGGGGTGCCAGAACTAACTGCAGTACAGCAACTCGAAGCAAATCACTGTTCTGTACAAATTTACCATCAATTCTCAGCTTTATATTCATTGTCTCTACACTAAAATTCAGAATCTCAGTTGTATTGATCAATTCTAATTACAACCCTGCCATTGAGGATCTCTATATCCATTGTATCACCCCATTAAGGGTCTTACAGTGTGCAATAAATTCCTTCCAAGCTTTTTCGTAGTGCAACATTTTCTCTGAAATATCTATGAAATTTGCCTTCTAAATGTAACTGCAGTAGCTGAACTAGCATTCAGCAAGGTTGTCAACCGATATATTCTTGAAGATTTCATAGGATATGTAACCTCCTACCGACTTAACCAGCCAAAAAGCTTTTCCCACTCTGCAACCTCCAATACTTCAATAGCTAACTACCAGATAATATGCTGTTTAGACATAGCCCATTTAATCCACAACATATTACTCTATTGGACTGCAGCGGTTCAGAAAGGCAGCTCACGACCATCTTCTCAAGGGAAACTAGGAATGAGCCATAAATGTTGGCCAGTCGCGATGACCACACCCCACGAATGAATTTTTTTTAAAAATCAAAAAGGATTAAAAAGATAAAAACACACCATTGTTTTTAAGGTCTAATGTGACTTTAACTCCTTTGTTTGCATGCAGCATTATCCACAAGATTAACGTTTAATTCTCGAAGACTCCAGGACAATCCTGGAGGGTTCACAACTCTAGCAGAGACAAACAGTGAACTTAAACGATGGACCATACCTCTGGGAGTGACAGAGTGTCCTGTTTCATTTCTTTACGTGTGTGTGTCAAAATGAGTGCCAGCATCTCCACAGTTTTCCCCAGACCCATCTCATCTGCCAGGATTCCTCCAGGCCAATCAGCACTCAGCAGAGGGCGCTCGCGAATAATGCTAAATCAGATTGAGAGCAGAGAGCTAGTGGGTGGAGTAATTCCAAACTTGTACATTCATATAGAAATCAAAGATGTGTCCAAGAGCTCATTACTATGGTAAATTAGATAATATGCTGTTTACACAACAGGCCATGTAATGCACAAGTATTATTCTATTGCTAATTTTTAAGTAAGGCTGCTCTTTTAAAGGACAACTGGAGGTCACTTAGGATGCAAACTATATTTGATCAGGCTAGAGGCACTCCCTGTTGCATGTGAACAGATTCCCAAAGAAAGCAACACTCCTAGCAGTCAATTTCTTAAGTGAAGAATAATTGCATGAAAAATTTAAGAAAAAAACTTGATAAGAGACAAAACAAAGAGAAAAGGGAGCAGTAGCAGCAGTTAAGAGAGGTTATCAGAGATGCAGAGGGAAGAGAGCACTGGAAGCAGTTTATGAGTGTAACAGAAGGGAATACAGAAATATTTAGGACAGGAACACAACATGAAAGAAGAAAAGGAAAGGGGAACAACAAGACGAAGAAAGATAACAAAAGAAAAAGTAAAAGTGAGAAAGACATTCCTAGTTACACCTCTGTCATACATCTTTAATTGCTTGACCTGTCCATTAACACCCACTTTCGTCTTGCACCATCATTCCCTTTGTCATTTAATCTATCCTGTTTTCTAATCTCTCACACACCTTCCCCTTTGCTTACTTTCTTAAATCCGTGCTTGCTTAAAAACAGTTACATCTTTCATATTCTCTATAAAAGGTCTTTGATCAGAAACACTAACTGCATCACTCTCTACTTGCATGAGAGCAACTAGTTTTCAAGGCATTTCTACAGCACCTTTCACGACCTCAGAACATCCCAAAAATAAAGAACGCTTTTGAAAGGCAGTCACTGATGCAAAATAAAGAATGCAACATCCAATTTGTACACAACAAAATCCTACAGACAGCTCTGAGAATAATAAGTAGATAATCTGTTCTAACTAAAATGGCTGAAGGATAAATATTAGCCTGGAGAACTCTTCCCTTATCTTCAAATTAATGGCATGAGATTTTTATGTTCACCAGAGAGGGCAAACAAGGCCGCGGACAAACCGATTACCTGGAAGATGCCTCTTCCAACAGTACAATATTCTCTCAGTACTATACGGAGCCTTTCAGCCTAGATTATTTGCTCAAGGATTTGTATAGAGGCAGTATATGGAAGACAAGCAGAGAGCAAGAAAGAGCAAAGCTACTATTAGTGATGTATATGCCTAAAAGATGATGGAGTCCCAGCTAAATTTTACAGTTGATGAAACAAAAACAGAAATTGCTGGAAAAGCTCATCAGGTCGGAGTTCTAAGGAAGGGTCGCCGGAACCAAAAATGTTAATTCTGATTTCTCTTCACAGATGCTGCCAGACCTGCTGAGTTTTTCCAGCAATTTCTCTTTTTGTTTCTGATTTACAGCATCTGCAGTTCTTTTGGTTTTTAAAGTCAATGAACAAGGTTTTTGGACCCTAGCTTAATTTGAATCATTACCTCTGATATACAATACAATAACAAAGCTCACAGTAAATCGCTGTGGGTACTGCACCCAACATTCAACATTTCTAGGGTACCAAATTTGGTTTCAGTACCAAAAATCAGTTTCAGACAGTAAAATATACCCACCAGCCAGTGTACGGATTGTAATATATTTTCTTCTCATCCTTTGTGGTGACTTCTTTCCATAACAAATGGAGGGCATTATCTGAAAAAAAAGTTTTCTTTTAAACTGCATCATTACATTAAACAATATGATAGAGTTGAATAGGAAAGAATCAGGTTGAAGGCAAGCAAAGAATGTATTAGATGTCTCGCCACAGTGATTTCTGTGGATACCGAGTGTGATGATATTCTCATGTCTGCTCTTCTAACTAAAAATACATACTTTTAACCATTCCATTATAGTGCCTGGATTAATGTTTAACGTTTTTTTTCCAGACTTTGCAGGATGAGCATTGTTCACCTGCACACTTGCTGGTGCTGGGCATAATTTGAATGCAGCGTAGAAATGCCTGCTCTTCTAGCCTTGTTATTGACTGACTGAATCCTCATTCATTTTTGTTTACTTTTCCTTCACCTCCCAAAAATGTAAAATGATTGGAGATGGTGCAGCTGAAAGTCTTCTGCGTGGCAGCTGCAGGATTGGTGAGAATTATTGTTTCAGTTCAATCACAATGCCTCCCTCGAATCATACACCTCTCTCTCTGATTGTAAACCTCTCTGCAACATGTGATTGGAAAAGTTGGAACAGCCAGTGTGACTTCTGACTGGAGGAGGATTTTGTCTCACCAGCACAGTCTACTCTTTGAAACAACAGTAATAAATCCAATAGGGAATTCAGGAGAATCTTCTTTACTCAGAATGGAATTTGTCCCCTCATGGTGTAACTGAGTCGAACAACATAATCTCATTCAACAGAAAGCAAGGGAAGCACAAGAGACAATACTGAAGAAAGGGTCAAACGATACAAAGTCAGATCAGTTGAGATGAATGATCCCAAATTGTGCTGAGAGACACTGCTGGAGTTTCATCAGTAAAAATCGTAATGCTTACTAGCACAAAACACTGGTATTTTCCCACTGCTAAACCATTAGTATCTAAGGTTATCTACAGCAATGTAGGAAGCAATTCAGCACAGTGATAAGATGGTAAGGCTACCTCACCACTTCTAATTTTAAAGTGCAATTCAAAGCATCAGGCAAAAAGCAAAACTGCCAAAGGAACAGTAATAATTTTCACCTTCAAAAGGAGATTTATCTTCAGTCCAAAAAAATTATGTTCAGGTTAGAGGTTTACATTCACAGGTTTCTGGTTCAAACTTACTGCTTGAAGAAGAGCCAGGACTACACTGTTCTCTCTGAAGCATCCAACTGACAGCCTGGCACTGATATGATCTGAGGGTTGGGACAAGCAAAGGGTGCTGAACTTTCTCAATGTACAGAGTTTCTTGCTGATGTGCATGCCGTACAAAATCATAAAGCTCTTCAATGTTCTCCCTTTCATCGGCTTCTTCTGTGATACTTGAGACATCTAAATGAAAGTAAGGAAAATTTTCACATTATTTGAGAAAATTACCAGCTAAGGTTGTAAAAAAAGTCAGCAGTACACAAACATACCAATAGATTGTGTTGTAAAAGTCTTTGAAGAACCAAAGACAAGAATCAAGATTTCAGTGAATAATAGGTGATATTGTTTCTTAAATTTTCATTATTTATGCCTTTTCAAATTCATTCGTGTTTGATAAAATATCACATAACAGGCTTGCCAGCAAAGGTGAAATTTATGGAATAAACGGCCGAATGGCAACTTGGATATCTAACTCGTTGATTACCGGGAACAGAGTTGAGCAATTATTTTCCAGACCGGAAAATGGTGTATAACAGGGCACCTGAAGGGTTCACTTGCACATCCATCAATGTGGTCTATTGCATCCGCTGCTCCCGATGTGGCCTCCTCTGCATCGGTGAGGCCAAGTGGAGGCTCAGAGACCGTTCTGTAGAGCACCTGCATTCTGTTTGCGACAAACGACAACATCTTCTGGTCGCAAACCATTTCAACTCCCCCTCCCACTCCCACTCCCTGGATGACATGTCCATCCTGGGCCTCCTCCAGTGTCATAATGACACCACCCGGAAACTGAAGGAGCAGCACCTCATATTCCGTCCTGGGAACCTGAAGCCCAATGGCCTAAGTGTGCATTTTACCAGTTTCAAAATCTCCCCATCCTTGGCCTCATCCCATGACCAACCCTCCCTCTCATTCCCGCCTCCTTGACCTGACACAACCTGTCCATCTTATCTCCCACCTATCCACTCCTCCCACCTCACTGACCAATCCCCACCACTCCCTACCTGCGCTCACCTATCACCATCCCACCTACCTTCCCCAGCCCCACCCCCCTCTCTCTATTTATTTCCGAGCTCCCTCTCCCTCCCCCATTTCTGAAGAAAGGTCCTGACCTGAAACGTCAACTTTTCTGCTCCTCTGATGCTGCCTAGCCTGCTGTGTTCCTCCAGCTCCACACTGTGTTATACCTGAGAGGCTGTGACTAGGATCACTGCTTTTGTTGATATATGTCAATTACATACTCTTTGTACAGACAGAGTTTTAACATTTGCAGACGATACAAAACTGGAGAGATTGTGAACAGTGAGCAAGATACATTTAAGCCCTTGCTTTACCTTGTCTCACTTAATATTGATTTGATTTATACTTTTTTTAATTAAGGTCTCTGCCTAACATTACCATTTTTGTTTTTACATCATCCTTGCTGTTGAAGAATCATGAAATAGTGCTATTAGAAGGCTTGTCTGCAACCTTAGGAGATGGCGTGGAAGATTCCCAGATTAGATCAGATCAGTTTCTGCCCTGCTGGCTGCCTTATTCACTGCCTCAATCCAAGTAGTCAAAAGTATGATCAATTCACTGCATCCACATATACATATCTGAGACAGATGACAAATTTTTGGAGGTCAGGGGATAAACTCATTCTGGAATTCAGTTAATACATGAATGCAGAGGAAAACCGGATTTGCCAACTGTTGCTTCAATTAAAGCCACACTATTAAAGAGCACAGTTGAGAGGTTATGTGCAAAATTACCGCACAGATAAATTTCAAGAGGACATAGAAAAGTGGGCAGACATATGGCAGGTGAAATTCAATACAGGTGAGTGTGAAATGACACCTGTTGGTAGTTAGAACAAAGAAATGCAACGTAATTTAAAGAAGTCAATCCTCAAGAGAATGCAGGAACAGAGAGATCTGGATCTATAGATGCACAGATTTTGAAGGTGGCAGGGTGGGTTGAGAAACTGGTTAAGAAGGAATATGGAACCCCGTCAATATTCAGAGGTACGGAATACAAAGCAAGGAATTTACAATGAACCTTTAATAAGATTTGGCTTCTTCTGGAGTACTCTGTTCGATTCTAGATAAGAAGGTTTCAGCAAAGGTGCGAATAGGTTTACAAGATTGATCCCAGGATTGAGAAACTTTGTTTAAGACGACAGATTGAATAACCTGGAGTTGTTTTCCTTAGAACAGACTGACAGGAGGTTTGATAAAGGTATTTAAAATCATGGGGGATGTAAAGAGAGTAGATAGAGAGAAACTGTTCCCATTGGCAAAATGGTTGAGAACTGATTTAAGGTGATTGCAAAAGAAGCAGCAGTGGCAGAAGGCAAAACTTTATTTTTCACACAGTAAATGATTAAGACAATGGAATGCACTGTCCTAAAATGTGAGGGAGACAGGTTCAGTCGTGGCTTTCAAAAGGGAATTGGACAACAGAAGAACAAATAGACTTTGAAGAAAGAACAGGAGCAGGACTAGTTGAGTTGTTCTTGAGAGAGCCAGCATGGACATGAAGGAACTGTTTAGCTTTCCGTGCTGTGATGTTAAGTGAGATTTTACAAGCACACTTTCTTATGTAAAAGGTATGCAAAAATACTACTTGGAAGTGAAAGTTAATGCCAGGCATAAATTTAAGTTAAATGCCAGTAGCAGGATAAAAACACATTTATGCAAATTGATAAAAAGTTCAGGAATGCATATAAATCAATTGAATGATGGAATAGACTCAAGGGGCTAAATGGTTGATTCCTGCTCCTATGTCCCTCTGAGGAAGCAGTTTTTCAGATAGGGAGCAACGAGGTCTGGAATAATCTCTGGATAGGGAACAAATGGCAGAAACTTTACTGCAGTTCAACAGGCAGTTAAGCCTTTTGATAGAAAATTTGTATGTTTATACAGACAGCTGCTTAAACTACTCCAGATAACTGGGGCTCAATAAATAAAACCTGCAAGATGCAAGTGTGCTGTGTTCAAACTGCACTCCACACGTCACATTCTAGGAATGCATTCTCAATGGAATACGGAAGATGTGCCAACTGGAAGTGATATGTTCTTTTAGGTGATGTGTTATTCTGAGACCCTGCCTACCCACTTAGGCTAAAAATAGCTGGCACTGTTTCTAAGAAGACAGATATTCTCCTCATCATTGTACTCTAATGTTTTCTTATTTCTCAAGAAATACCCGCTTTGGGATCTTTGGCTGGTTTCCTGTATTTCGACTGTCACTACAGCTGGGCAAATATTTTTCAAATTAGATAAACTAGCACATTGCTGTGAGAGCTGTCCTGTATCCTGTTGGGTGCCAGGTCAGGCAAACGTGCACAGGGCAACAAACAGGTTTTTTTCCTGGATGGCTGCAGATTACTAATATAGAAACAAAGGTCTCAGCAAGGTAACCTGATGGAAGATCAGTATATAACTTTACAATAAAATCACTATTGCAAGGCCCATTAGATTTGTGTTCCTGGCTTGACTCACTACTGAAAAGATAAATGCTTTGCATTTGACATGTTTAAGGATTAACACAAGAGATTTTTTGGGGGGTGGGGATGGTGAAAAACACACAAAACTCAGAGAAAAGGGGTCCAGGCAGCAAATCATTTGCCTTGGTTTTGTTGTCACTATACGAGACCAGAGAAATACGACAGGCTTTATGAACTACTAACATTTTATCTTTGCTGATTTCAGAAAGGTTGTGTCAATATTCGCCCTCTCATTTTAGTTATATTAACAAATTTGCCTTGAATAGTACTTTGTGTGTTGCATAGCATTTCGCTTTAAGCATAGGATAGTATCACAAAAGAATATACATTATTCTGGCAACTGCTGACTCACTTCTAATAACATATATACACCCCATGCTTTGCCACTCTTACATTTCTGTACATTGATGAGTTTGCTCTGTGACTCGTTAAGACCTGGCAAAGAACACTCAGCAGGCACTCAGCCTCCGGTTGCTGGTTTCTCCCTTTGTTTCTTTAGGGGGAGATATTTTGGAAAGAACAACAGGATTGTAACTATCTTTGGTCACCTAGACCAATTCAGATATTGACTGTTAGCTGTAGTTTCAGTTGCAATCTCAATTCTGAGTTACAAGGTCAAGGGTTCAAACCTCACTCTAAAAACACAAGCACAAGAATTTAGGCTGACACAGTAGCACAATACTAAGGGAATACCGTACCATCAGAAATTTCATACTTTGGATGTGAAATTCAACCCAGGTCTCCAACGCACTGCCAGAAGAAGTGGTGGAAGCAGGCACATTGGTGACATTTAAGAGGCATCTGGATGGCTACATGAATAGGAAGGGAATAGAGGGGTACGGACCGAATAAGGGCATCTTATGTTTTTTAGTTTAGTTTAGTTTGGGCATGATCGGCACAGGCCTGGAGAGCCGAAGGACCTGTACTTCTCTTTTGTTCTTTGTTTCGTTCTTTTGTCTGCTGTCCCAAGTATGTAAAAAGAAAAATCACATATCACTATTTCAAAGAAAAACAAACAGGTTATTCATGATGACCTAGCCAACAATTTTCTGTTATGAAACGCTGGAAAAAAATTCGTCAGAGCATTATCACATGGCACTATATTTCTTACAAGATTTGAAATTCACACCAGAGGTCACAAAAAGCCTCTATATTTTAGTTCTTCCTTTTGGTGCACATCAGTTCTAGGAGCACCAAGCAAGGCAGTATTGATCCCAGGATGAGGTCAACTGTGATGCAAGATGCTGCAGCTAAAAGTGCTGAACAGCAGAAAATGAACAAATGAACTGCAAAATAATTTGGCTTCGAGAGTTCTCAAATCAGCCTGACTCCATTTTAGGGAACGAATGGATATCTGGGGTAAGTGGGAATGTGAAGATGAGGCCACAGCCAGATCAGCTATTGCCTTACTGTTTGGTGGAGCAGGTTTGAGGGATCAAATGGTCTACTCCTGCTTCTGATTGTATGTTTGTATTCATTTTGAAAATTATACCTGGAACTGTTAAGTCATAAAAATATTCCATGAGTTTCTGCATCAATGCATTTGTCTTTTTCATCCTATGGCTTCCTTCACTCAGGAACTCGGGTTTTCCCAAACCAGACTCAAGAAGATATACACCAATCTACAGAGCAAAAAAAAGTTTGTAAGTCACAATTAAAATAAACAAATTGTCAATAAAATTCAAATATATGTGCCTTGGTTAGAAGCACACTGGCCTCTAAGTCACAAAGTTCTAGGGTCAAGTTCCACTCCAGGGCTTGAAAATCCTCTACAAAAACATCATGGCTGACACTCCAGCACAGTACAAAGGAAGCACTGCAATATCTGACGTGAATACTTTCAAATGAGATAGTAAACTGCACCTTTTCCTGGCTCGGTGGAAAAGATCCTATGGCATTATTTTGGAGAAGAGTAGAATTATCATCTCTGGTATCTTGGCCAACATTTATCCTTCAAGCAACATCCCAAAAAAACGAATATCTGGTCATTATTACATCACTGTTTGGGAGTTTACTGTCCGTAGATTGGGTGCCATGTTTCTAACATTACAACAGTGACTACACTGCAAAATGTGCTGGATTGACTGGAAAACACTTTGAGGTGGCTGGTAACAGTGAACAGCACAAACAGCAAGTCCTTCACTTTAAGGCACCCTTTTTCAGTTGTTTTAACTTTTTCAATTTAATGGCAGTTAGGCAATGGAACATTCATGTCCAGCAATGGGAGTGATGCCATGTCATGTTACTTGTTTGGCATAATTTGAGACCAGCCTCTGCCAATCATTCTCAGTGGCTCCTTCTCCATCTCATGGCTTACCTCCATGACCCTACATCTCAGAACTGCTCACTCTGTAGGTTGCATCTTGCCTCTTGCTGTTCATCTCCCAAGTTCTATTATTTTTATTTGTTGTTTCTTTATGAAAAGGAAAAACAAAACCAGCTCATGCTGGGCTGTACCTTCACTGTCAACAAGTACAATCCAGCTTCAGTATTCTGTCCAATTCTGGGCAGCACACTTTACAGAGGATGCCAGGACTTGAGAGGTTATGCAGGAGATTTACTAGAATGGTTCAAGTGTTGAGAAACCTCAGTTGTATTTAAAACAGATGTCACAATTCTGAGAGTTGTAATACAATTGATTTGGAGAAACTGTTTCCAGTCGCAAGAGTGTCAGTAATTAAAAGAGACTGTCTTAAAATAATTAACAAAATGATTCTGACAGTTATACAAGTGTAACTTTTCTCTTATTATTTTCCAGTCTAAAGACTAAGTATATTGTGTATTAACATTACCGAGATAATGGATCAGCAATCATTTACCACACCACTAATCTGCGCAATTTCTCTAATTTTTCTATTTTTATATAGAAAAAGTTAACTCAACTCACGCAACTCAACAGCTGAATGAGTTAGTTGCATTTGAGAATAACTAACTGCATCTCTTAGAGCATTGGGGAGCAAGCAGGAGAAAGGGTGTGAGGAAGCTAAGAAGTAAATTGTAGACCTAGTTGTGACTAGTCAAATCGATGGATCGAGCCGGATTCTGCATTATGGTTGTGCAAATTCCAACATTAAAACAAAGATCATATTTTACATAGTGCCTTCGGGAGTAATATAATTCAGACAAAACTTCATTCCCAAAGAGTGATGAGAATGTCGAACTGGCTACCACAGGAGCAGTTCATAATAACACACGTGCATTTAAGGGAGTCTAGTTAAGTATATAGAAAGGAGGTCTTCTGGCACCATGGGTAATATTGTTGCCTCCAGGCCAGAAGTTCCATATTCAAGACCCACACAGAATTTGGTGGCCAAGGAAATTGTCACGATAGCCAAACAGGTTCAGATTCAACCAGCAAATCCTTCCAACACACACTGTGGCAGTTGATAACAGCAGGGAATATTCCTGGTCAGCCACATGTTGCAAAGAAAATTGAAGCCTCCATCATCACTATCCAGAAACTACAGTATCCATGTAAAAATGCATGTTGCCACAGCAAATCAGACTCCAACATATATCGAACAATAGGAGAAAGGGACAGAATGATACGTGAATGGAATTAGAATTAACAAATTTGGGTCAAGGTTCACATAATACATAAGCATCAGCTTGGCGTTCTAGAGGCAGTCTAGTCAGTTCGAGTTGTAAAACATCGCAAGACATTACACAGGAGTATTAGTAAATGAAGATTTTAATAGCCACATTCAGAGTTATTACGACAGGTATAGAAAGGCTGAGTCAAAGAGGGAGATTTTAAGGAAAGGTGGAGAGGTGGAGAGGCTTAGGGAGGCTGAAGACTGGTGCAACAATGAAAACTGGATATGTACAAGAGGCTAGAATTAGAGAGTGCAGAGAGGTCAGGGAGTTAGAAGAGTTTATAGAGATAGGCTGTGGCAAGGCAATGGAGAGATTTGAAAACACAGAAAATTTAAAAATGAACGTGGAGCCAAACTGAAAGCTACATGTAAGTCAGTGAGCAAAGGGATTAGAGAGTATTGTAAGTTTGGTGTGAGTTAGAGCAAAAGCAGCAAGGTTTTGCTTTAGAATAAATTCATGTCAAACCTGGCATGGATAGTTGTCTGTGCAGAGCTACACTTTATTGTTAATTAGACACACCACTAACTCTGTACTGTTGATATTAGAAACATTATAAACTGCTCCATCAGTATCCACAGATTTCTTCGTAATACTTCTTCACTGAATAGGTTTACTCCTTGAAATCCTATTTTCATCAAAGGGGTATAGTTGCTTATTTGCTGGGACATACTTCCTGCTGTTAGCTGATGTGGTAAGTGATGATGATGACGACGACGACGATGATGATAGAAGAAACCAATTAGTAGGGGTTCTGTAGAAGTTTTAACATATCTCACTTTTGAATGTTTCAAAAGATGATTGAGGTGGCTCAAAGATCTAACTTTATAAAAAATTAACAGAGATTTAGAAATCGATACTTTTTGAACTACTTAAAATAGTTGGCAGAACCAATACATTCAAAATAGCGGGACAACAAGGTGCAGGGCTGGATGAACACAGCAGGCCAAGCAGCATCATAGGAGCAGAGAGGCTGACGTTTCGGGCCTAGACCCAAATAGCGCCTTTCTAATTGCCTCATACAATAATGACATTCACACTTTTTCCCAATGCAGTTGGCCATCAGTGGGAATAATGCACTGTGAGTTGACCGGTTTGTACATCCAAACAGAAACAAGAGTGTCTCTCGTCAACATCTTACTGTTGAGCTTTAAATTTGGTTCACCATCATTTTCTGTTTTAATTTTCTGTTTAGATGTGTAAAGATTATATTTTGTTTTGGAATACAAGGAGTAAATGGAAGTTCAAACACCACTTTTCTGTAGACAATGTAAAAGGTTTGTTTCTCAGGGGTTTTTTTTTGCAACTTGAAGATCCAAATTAGAATTATGTGGTGTTCATTTATTAATTACAGAAGATCATGTAACCTTTGGAGAAGCTGGGTTTGATATTTTTGAGAAACAAGCTAGCACAGGTGCCTTTAGGTTAAAAAGCAATGCACTAACAGCTTTCGGATTTTTAAGTTGCAGTCTGTCATGGACTTGAAAATGACAGCTGCACTCAGGCCTCTAGAAAGCCTGCAAGCAAATACAGGTCTCTCCCTTTCTCACCCTGTGCAAGGAAAAAGAAACACTTGAAGATTCGGAAAAGAAAACCTACCAACTCAAGCAAAGACCTAGGTTCAACTGACCTGCAAATGAATTAAGGACCTATTATCATTCTGTGGTAAATAACAGCATTATATCGTTGCCAAAAATCAAAGTAACTGTGGAAGTGTCACTTTATTCCACTAGTGATCTGGATTCTTGACACAGATAAGTAGTTCCTTTTTGTCTATGTTTTCTACAGACGATACTTCTGCTTTGACTTTCCCAGTTGTGAATGGATGTGTGAGAGCTTGGGCTTAAAGTGGATATAGTTTAAGTTTGCACATAATTAATTAATAATCAATTTCTGCCACTTAATAAAAAAGATTTACTTCTTATTTATTGATGTAATCCGGTGCCAGTTCTTTTAAATTAGGTAACAGTCAAAGTGGACAAATGAACCATTTTAGTAATTAAATTGGGCACATATATAGCTTGTGGAGTAGTGAGATTTGACTATCAGTAACTTTTCTCATCAGGATCATGACAGATGCTTTTGCAAGATGAGGACATTGAGCAAAACAGACATCACTGAGGGGAAAAAAAAAGATTGTCCTTCCACCACTTCAAAAATTCCTGCCATCGTCTTTAGTGGTGCTTGCTGAGTGATGGAACCTGAAAATCGCAAACAGGAAGGCAGGGACTGGGGGAGATTTTGGGGGTGGATGGGGGAGTGGTAAAGATTTAACCAATTAGGAAGAAGACTATTGATCAAGACAAAGAACATTTTATTCAAAAAGTTAAATACCTTCAGTGTTTGACGGTCTTCAATTGTGTTTTGGAACAATCCAATTACATTCTTTTTCTGAAGCCACGTTATGTTCTCCAGCATCTTAAAATTGAGTGAAGTTCTTACACAGCTTATGAATTCTTTGTTGTCATCCCTCTCAGAATCATCACATTTCCTCTTGATTGAGACTTGCAGCTGATCATCAGCACTGGTCTTCATCAAGCCTATGCTGAGAAACCACAGTTCCTCTGGAAATGCTTGCCCTGTTGGAAGTTGGAGTGTAAACCCATCCAGCAGTGCTCGCCACTCTTCACCCAAGTGGCCAGGGGAGATAGCAAGACTGATTTGGGTGGTGGTACTTAATGGCAAAAGATGACCTTCTCCATCCTCGACCTGAGTCACAGCAGAGATGTTAAATGGCTCATCCTGTTTCAAACTGCTAGGCTGGAGAAGGGTTGTCTCTCTGTGTCCTGGGGGACCCGAGCTCATAGCTGAGGGATTATTATAGTCATTTGATCGATCAAGTGGATGGAGATCCTTCAAGTCATTACACATATTCCAACTCAGCTTTTTTTTTGTTTCTTCGTCTACTCGCACTGGGGCTGTACGCTTCCTTCTGTTGCTCATTGTACCAGCTTAGTGCAAGTTCACAGCTGCAACCAAGAAGAATAAAAATATGAAATGCTCCTAGTAAAAAGGTTGAGTGAAGCATTTATATTGCTCTGAACAGTCAGTTAGGAATGCAACATAAGACGAGGACGTTCATTTAGTTATTGAGCTATTCAACTAGATCAGCATGGATTTGTACCTCAATCCAGCCTTGATTCTGTAACCCTCAAAACCCCCACTCATTTATCATTCTCAATTTTGAAATTTTCTACTGAAAACTGCTTCTATACTGGGGACGATAGAGGAGAGATTTCCAGATTTTCACCACTCTTTGTATGAAGAAGTGATTCCTGATTTCACTGTGATCTCCTAAGGTCTCTCTGGTCCTCCCCATTCCTAATCTATCGCCTTTCAGATAATAATCTGTCTTCCTGTTTTTGACCTCACATTTATTCACCTGCCATGCATTTGTCTATTTTTTTTTACTACCAAATGTGCATATTTAGACTGTATCTTACATAAAACGATTTAGTTCAGGTTGCAGCCTTTTGTAAAACTTAATTCACAAACGTTTAGCTGGAAATGGTTTAAAGCTAAACAAATGGAAAATATATATATCTTGGAAACAAACAAATGAGAAACAGAGCACATCATGATTGTCAGAAAAAGCAATTGGTCCAGATCAACCATAACATTTATATAAGAGACACAAATTAATGAAGCATCACAACTCATGCATTTCTTCCGAAAATAAATCAAAACATTGAGCAAATTATATGAAATGTAAATTAGAGAAACAGGTTATTTGGCCCAACCAGTCTATGACAAATTTTGTGCTTCACACAAGCCCCACCCCCCCATCCATCTTCATTTAACCCAATCAGCAGATCCTTCCATTTCTTTCAGTCCTCTGCACTCATCGTACTCCCTCCAAAATGGATTCATGTTACACTTTTGACTTGGTCAATTAGTGAAGTTGGTTGATCTGTATCTTAATTCCATCCATCCACCTTGGTCAATAATCCTTCATATCCATGGCTAGCAAAAATCTTCAAATTTCAGATTTATAACCATTGATTGAACTAACATGAATTGTTATGGGAAGGTCCACGACCCTGTGCATGAATAAATGTTTCCTAATTTCAGTTCTGAATGGACTGCATCTGATCTTATGACCACATCCTCTCATCCTAGGCTTCCTACCACTCAAAACGTTTCCTCTCTATCCTAGCAATTGCTTTCTAAACCCTAAAACTCTCAACCAAATTACTCATAACCTTCTATGTTCAAGATAGTACAAGACCAATTTAAGTAATCCCCCTTGATAATTTAGTCCTTGAAGCCAAAGTATTATTCTGGTGAATATTCTGCACTGCACTCCTTTCAAGGCTATTGAAGGTGTGCTGTCCAGAACTGTATACGGTACATATGTGATCTAGATCAGGGCTTTGCATAGCTGTAGCAAAATCACCTTTATATTCAAGCTCTGATAATTTATTGTTCCTGACTACTACATTTTAACTATCTTTATATATGGACCCCAAATCACTTTCAACTTCCATTGTTCCTAGCTTTTCATTATTAAAATAATACTCAGTGATCCGGTTGTAGGTAGTCTCATACCTTACCTCATTAGGGGAGATAATGGTATAGTTTATCATGGCTGCATTAATAATTCAGAGACCAAGGAAATGTTCTATGAATTCGGCGCCGAATCCCACTACAGCAGATGACGGAATTTGAATTAAATCAAAAAATCTGCAATTACAAGTCTAACGATGTGCAAGTTAGGTGGATTGGCCAGGCTAGATTCTCCAGAAGACTGACACCCATTCCACATACAACGATCAGATCTCGGCTGTCCGTTCCTGACACATTCAGTCATGAGTGGTGATGGACAATTAAACATTTCACTGGAGGAGGCAGCTCCACAAATTTCCTTATCTTCCATAATAGCAGAGTTCAGCACACTAATGCAAAAGATAAGGCTGAAGTATCTGCAACAATCTTCAGCCAGAGATGCTGACTGAATGATCCATCTTCGGCTCCTCCAAAGGTCCCCATCATGATAAATGTCAGTCTTCAGCTAAGTAGATTCACTTCATATGACATCAAGAAACAGCTGAAGGTACTGGATACTGCAAAGGCTATGGGCCATGACAACATTTCGGCAGCAGTACTGAAGATTTGTGCTCCAGAGCTGGCTGTGCCTGTTGCCAAGCTGTTCCAATACAGCTACAACACTGGCATCTACCTGACTGTGCAGAAAATTGAACAAGTGTGCTGAGCAAATCAGCATTCTGCTGATTCAAATTCTCTCTTGCTTTAAAAACTAAATATTGAACCAATCAAGTCCAACTGAACAACGTGGATAAGACACCAAGGAGGATTTAGTGCTCAAAATATCATTTGAATCAAAAACCTTTTTAATCCCAAGTATTTTAAAGATTAAACAATCATAAGTGTAAACTTTCTCTATCTTATAATGTTAAACAGTTCTTAGTAAGTTAGGTAACAATAACAGCTTCAATAGTTCCAATATATCTAAATTGAAACAGATTTGTTCTTCAGTATTTTGGAAATTAGTTGGAAAAATCAAAGAAACTCAGATGTCCTGTTACATGGCGGGAAGAGGTACAGTCTGTCAACTGCCTTGAGAGAATTACATTGATGAATACTGGAAAACCATGGCCACTAAATGTATTCATCATTTTTCTTCTGTTAAAAGTTAAAGCTGCAGAAGAGAAAGCATTATGTTAAATTCAAGTGCAAGATTTTTGGAAGCAATTTTTTTCTAAAAGAAAAATCACAATTTTAGATTAGAAACATTGGCCAGATAATTATTTCTGAAGCACACATGGGAGTTGCACACAGTGACCCTGCAGACTCACCAACACAATCTGGCCAGATTTTCTGAGGAGCAGAAGTACACATTATTTGCCACTCTGCACCTTCTTTTTAACAGAACAAAAAAGCTCTGTATTCCTGACAGGAGACTCTGACCATGGCTCCTTCAGAAACGTGGGGTTGTACTTTCACTCTGGCAGGTCCCTGTCATGCAGACAGTGGGGTGAAAGTAAACTGTGACTCCTTTTTCACAGAATCAGCCATCATCACAGACAGCCACTTTTAAAAAGCTCCTGTGAAAGGGTAAGTACATAGGTGTGAGGTTAGGGTGCCAGGACAGGGAAGGGTGACAAATAACTATGGAATACAATGTCAGCGGGTAGGGAGCCAGGTCCAGGAAGGAGGGTAGAGTGCCAGGTGGATAAGATGCCACAGTGCAAACGGGCCAGGTAAGTGGTAGTTTGGATTGATCAGGGGGATGGAGTTATCAAGTCTGGAGCCATCAAGTCTGCAGCCCAGGGTATCAAGTCCAGTGGTGCTGGTGTTCTGGAGTACAGGAGTGTCCTGAGGGTAGAGAGGAATGTCAGATCAAGGTCTGTGGCTGTTGGAGTCTGAGGGAAGTGTAATCAGGGGTGTGAGAGGTAAGTCGTAAGTCAGGCAAATAATTATTCAGGTTTTAGACGAGGTATTTAATAATCTAACTAGTTCTAAGTAACTTCTTACTGAACTGCAGCGGATCCTCTAAATTAGAAAAAACGAAACTTTCTTTTATAAGTGAAGCTTCAGTAATTGTGGCCAGTCGGCTTCCATTGTCGCCATTCTGAGGAATCTCCACATGGTCAAATCTCAATTCACAAATTTAAACAGCAATTAATAATAACACACATAGCAAATCAAATGGAGAAATTAATGACAGGAACAAAAACAAAGTTGCTGGAAAAGCTCAGAAGGTCTGGGAGGATTTGTGAAGGAAAAAACAGAGTTAACGTTTCGGGTCCGGTGACCCTTCCTCAGAACAGCAACTTTGTTTTTGTTCCTGATTTACAGCATCTGCAGTTCTTTCGTTTTTTTTTTTTTACAGAGAAATTAATGAATTGGAATTATGTTCCTTCTGCAAAATATTTGGATGAACTAATTTTGGATCAGTGCTTGAATCAAAGAAATCAGCTGTTACATTGTGACAAACAAACTGATTAGAAAATTGCAGACAGGTTAGTCATCATTTCCCAAAGTGCTTTAGATTTGAGAATTTTGTCTTTGGATTTAGGAAACTGTAAATATCAGTTGATTACTTAAGAAAAGGAGTAAGAAACACAAAACTACACATCTGTCAGTTTTAAAATCATGTGTAGGGAATTGGCAACTTTCACATTCTTTGTACATGGCAGTGTATTTTACAAGCCAAGTAAACACACAAAGTGCAATCATTGTTTTGGAAGTAAACACAGCGGCCAATCTCCATACATCAAGATCCCAAACTGCAGAATCTACAAACAATTTTGTTTTTGGTAATGTTGGCTCAGACTGCATCCTCAACAGTGAGTCAGTCCCTCAGTACAGCCTGGATAGGTGTTCAGCTCTCTATCACAGGGACGAATCAATAAGCATAACAGATATTGGACTTAGTAAAATTCTGCAAAGGCCTTTAATCAATTTAAATCCAATAGAATTTGCATTGAGGTTAATATCAAGAACCACTCAACTTTAAACAAATAACGTGTCACACATGCTAGGCACCAAAAACAAGTATGACCATTGCTGAAACAAAGATATGTAACGTATGTACTGAACACCCTCGCACATTATCATTTGTATAATGGGTCATTGTACAGAAAAGGTTTCCCGCTGCTCATTGCTGCACAACCCTTATCTGCCTTCCAGAGGGGCCACTCTCTTTGTGACTCCCTTGTCTGCTCCACACTCCCCACCAGCCCCACTACCCCTGGCACTTTTCCCTGCAACCGCAGGAAGTGCTACACCTGCCCCTACACCTCCCCCCTCACTTCCATACCAGGCCCCAAGAACACCTTTCACATCAAACAAATGTTCACCTGCACATCTGCTAATGTGGTATACTGTATCTGCTGTTCCCGACATGGCCTCCTCTACATCAGGGAAACCAAGCAGAGGCTTGGAGACCGCTTTGTGGAACACCTCTGCTCGGTTCGCCACAAACGACTGCACCTCCCAGTCGCGAACTACTTCAACTCCCTCTCCCACTCCTTGGACGACATGTCCATCCTGGGCCGCCTCCAGTGCCACAACGATGCCACCCGAAGGTTGCAGGAACAGAACCTCATATTTCGCTTGGGAACCCTGCAGCCCAATGGTATCAATGTGGATTTCACAAGCTTCAAAATCTCCCCTCCCCCGACCACATCCCAAAACCAGCCGAGCTTGTCCCCGCCTCCCTCACCTGTCTGTTCTTTCTCCCACCTATCCACTCCTCCCACCTCAACCCTCACCCCCCACCTCCTACCTACCAGCCTCGTCCCCACCTCCCTGACCTGTCCGGCTTCCCTGGACTGACCAACCCCCACCCTAACTCCCCACCTACACTCACCTTTACTGGCTCCATCCCTGTCTCCTTGACCTGTCCGAGATAACAAGGTGTAGAGCTGGATGAACACAGCAGGCCAAGCAGCATCAGAGGAGCTGGAAAGCTGACGTTTCAGGCCTAGACCCTTCTTCAGAAATGAAGGCCTAGGCCCGAATGGGGGTATATCGGTATATATGGGGGTATATCAGGCTAGGCCCGAAACGTCAGCTTTCCTGCTTCTCTGATGCTGCTTGGCCTGCTGTGTTCATCCAGCTCTACACGTTGTTGTCTCAGATTCTCCAGCATCTGCCGTTCCTACTATCTCCTTGACCTGTCCGTCTCCTCTCCACCTATCTGCTCCTTTATCCACCTTCCATCCGCCTCCCCACCTCTCTATTTATTTCAGAATCCCCTTCCCCTCCCCCATTTCTGAAGAAGGGTCCAGACCTGAAACGTCAACTTTCCTGCTCCTCTGACGCTGCTTGGCCTGCTGTGTTCATCCAGCTCTACACGTTGTTGTCTCGTTGTCTCAATGTCTCACAAGCAACGCGATCAGGGACAGACAATCAGCTTTTCTTGGTGATACTGATTGACGAATGAATACCAGGCCGGGATGCCGGGGCGAATCCCCCTGTTCTTTGCGCAATAGAACAGTAGGGTTTTATATGAAAGGGCAGACAGGGCCCTCAGTTTGAGACACCCGCTCCCTGAAACCAATCGTGGATTTTATAATCACTCTAATGCTGATAATCGATGCTACTCACTGTTAAGCCCCAGAGCCTGAAGTTTCCAAATAAACAATAAACGGTTCAGAAACAATAAACAGGGCCGGAAAAGCTGGACGGCTGACCCCCGGATGTTGATAGTATTTTCCCGGAAGTTGTCTGTGTTAACCCGGAAGTTGCCGGCCCGCGGTCAATGCTCACCCCGTTGACATGGAGGCTAGGTATGTTTCACAGAAGATCAGCCGGGTCCGCTGGCTCCCGGTGTCCGGCTCCAGTCTGCAGCTTCCCGAATGCTTCGCCACCGGATCCTGGGATGCTGAGGTGAGCAGAGCAGCAGCCGGGAGGCCGAGGGAAGGGCAAGTACATTAGCATGGTCATCCGGGAGAGAAGGAGAGGGGAACAGCAATGGGAAGAAAGGCAACAGAATTGGACCGAGGGCGGTGGGTGTAGGCACCCTCGAGGGAAGAGAAAAGACAGAAGTCCGCCGGCAGGAGTCAACCTGGGTAAAAGGCATGCGGGATCCTCTTCTTTACAAATACGCAAAATGTTTTTAAAAAGATCAAAAGAATGGAAACCAAGGCTAGTTTTAAAAGAGAGGAGAAAGCTGTGGTTAAAGGCAATTAGCTAGACTGGCAAAAAAAATTCGAAGCGGTGTTCCTGATCCTGGGATATCAACATTGCAAACAGTTTGAAGTAGGAGTTGAAAATACTGTACACTTTAAAATCCTGCACGTGACACCATACTTGGCAGTGGAAAGGTGAGGGTAAATGACAAAATACAGAACTTCAATAAGAATACTATATAAGCAGCAAATGAAATACAGTCGTGGACAATCACTTGCTAACAAGTATGATTATCAACCTAGGACATTCTGTGGTCATTAATCATATGTTCTGTGGGTACTTGCGTAGCTGTGCCTGATTCTAGACCTACATCTCTGACCACATATTTGCTAGGTGTTTACAGAAGGTGGAAGTGGTCCTTGGCCTTCTGATCATTGGCATTTCTCAGGTTCCCTTTCCATACCCCCTCTTGCTGATGGGTGTTCTCAAAGAATTGTGTCCCTTCATAGAATTAGTGTGGATACAGGCCATTTGGCCCAATAAGTCCACACCGACCTGCCAAAGAGCATCCAGTCCAGACCCATCCCCCTTCCCTTTTCCTGTAACCCTGCATTTCCCATGACTAATCCACCTAATTTACACACCTCTAGACACTCCGGGCAATTTAGCACAGCCAATCCACCTTGCCCGCACATCTTTGGACTGTGGGAGGAAACCAAAACATACGCAGACACAGGGAGAATGTGCAAACTCCATACAGACAGTCACGTGAGGGTGGAATCATACCTGGCCTCACACTGTGAGGCAACAGTGCTAACCACTGAGCCACCATGCCATCCACAGGCTTTGTACAGGAGTTTCCATCAAGTCAGTTTCTTCTGAATGAGGGTTTCCTATGTATGCACATCTATGTTGCATTTCTTGATGTAAGCTTTCAGGGGACTTTGAAACACTTCCTATGTCCTGCTTTTGCTCGAGTGCCTCCTTTGAGCTGGTTGAAGGAGATTTGTTTTGACAGTCAGAACTCAAACATCCTAAGCACGTGGCCAGCCCACCAGAATTGATTTTGGATGAAGCCTTGAAGCTGTTGTATTATCTGTTTCAAGGACGCTAATGTTATTACACCTGCCGTCCTGGATGATATGGAGAATCCATCTCAAACAATGTCGATGGTACTTCTCAAGGTGGCATCTATATATAATCCAAGTTTCGGAGCTATGTAGAAGAGTCTGAAGAATGATTACCTTATACACAAGGATCTTGGTATCAGCATGGATGTTACAGACATTGAATATTCTCATCATTAGTTGTCCAAAAGCAGCACTCATAGATTGGATGTGATGTTGCATCTCTGCATTGGTGTCAGCCATAGATGAGAGGTAGCTTCACAAATAAAGGAAATGTTCAATATTTGGGAGGATTTCTTCATTAATCTTAATAGAGGGATGGACTGTACTTGAACGAGGAGAGGTTGGTAAAGGATTGAGTCTTCAAGGTTGAAACTAATTCTTCAGATACTTTCTTGAAGACATTAAGCGAGGTTTGAAGATTCTGTTCTGAGAGAGTGGAGATGACATTGTCATCCGTGTACTAATATTCAATAAGTGATATCAGTGTCATTTTCTTCTTGGATTTCAACTGATTAAGGTTGAAAAGTTTTCCATCCATTCTGTAGACAATGTTCACATTAATAGGATGTTTGTTCTTGAGGAAACTGAAGAATTATGGTGATGAAGATGGAGAAAAGGGCAGTGGTGCTTGACCCCTGAGATGACCTCACAAGATTCTGTCATATTCCTGACGGAGGCTCATTGCTGCTATCTTATGGTAGAGACGGAGGATATTGATGAATTTCACTGGACAGTCAGCCTTTGCCAGGGTCTTCCATAGTACTTCCCAACCGACTGAGTCAAAAGTCTTGGTCAAATTGATGAAGTCCATGTAGAGTGGTTGGTGTTGTTTCATTGGAGTTGCCGAGCAGTGAAAATCATGACGACAGTTCCACACTTTGGTCAGAAGACACACTGGCTTTCCAGAACAGTTTCCTCTGAGTCTGGGAGAAGGCATTTAGTAAGGATTCAGGTAATGATCTTCCTGGTAATGGAATGAGGGGAGATTTCTTAGTAGTTCCCAAGTCCACTTTGTCTCCTTTCTTGAGGACAGTGGCGATGGCAGCATCCCTGAGATTGGCAGGGATCTCTTCTTTGTCCAGATTTTCAGAAATGACAGGTAAGCTTTGCTCCTCCAAGTTTGAAAATCCCCACTAGAATCCTGTCTACTCCTGTTTCTTCACCTTCAACCGCTTCTGGTGTCATTTGATGGACATTGGGGAGGGGATGAGTCGGTGGTCTGTCCATTAGTTATCTGCACCAGGTCATCACTTTGGTAATCCTTTTGGTCTCTGGGCTGAGCAATGACATAATCAATCATGTGCCAGTGCGTTGATCATGGATGCCTCCAAGAATTCTTGAATTTATCTTTTCGGAACAAGAAACGTGTTGGTGATGTACATTCGGTGAGTAGACAAATCCTGTCAGAGTTGCAATACCCAACTCCTTTTCCAATTGTCCTTATCCAGAGTTGTGTGTCCTTTCTGACTTCAGCATTCAAGTCCCCAAGAGCAATAGTTTTATCTTCCTCAGAGATGTTGATGACCAGGGTGGAATAGAAACCTCTTTTGGACTCATCTATAGCATCAAGGGTTGGAGCAGTGGCACTCATGACCATTGTCTGCTGGTTCTTGGCAAGTTGTAGATGGAGAGATATGATCATTGTTGCCAACAGGAAGCAAAGAGAATCAGTTGATGAGTTTATTCTTGATTGCATGTGACGTGGGTTGATCCTCAGGGTTTTCCTCTCCAAAGGAGGGGGTAACCACAACCTCCTTCCCTCAGCTGCCCTTCAGGACTTCTGCAGGGCAGTGATATTGATGTTAAAGTGCCTGAGTTTACAGCAACAGGGTCAGGTCTTTGTTCTAGACAATTGTTTCATTTGTTATCCATGAAGGTTCGTATGTTCCAGGTTCTTCATGGTTTGGTTTACAAACTGCGAGTAGATGAGCAGATGCGGATTTCCAGCCAAGTTGGTGATTGAATGGATAGAGTAGGTGCAAAAAATGATTGACTATAATTACATCAGAGTTGAGACGTCATACCCATTAAGAAAGGTTGCATAGGCTGGGATTCTCTTTCTTGTGACCTGATGTGGAGAAGTTATTTTCACCTGTGGGGGATTCCAAAACTAGAAGCCACCAATGTAAAATTGTCACTATTAAATCCAACAGAGTGTTCCAGGAAACATATTTACCCAGAGGTAGGTCTGAATGTGAAATTTACTATAGCAAGGAACGGTTGAGGTCACTAATGTAGATGCATTTAAGGATAGTTAAGGATAAACTCATGAGGAAGAAAGGAATAGAAGGGTTGATAAGATTGGATGAAGAAGCATGGGAAGAGAATCATGTGAGTTCAAATGGAGGCATCCACGTGTTGGTCTGAATAGTACCTTTCTGTTCTCTCCATACTATATAAATCATTGGAGTGTTGTGTCGCAGTCTGGATGCTGTACCTTAAGGAATGAAGAAGAGCTTGGAGAGGATACAGAGGAGATTTTCTAGACTGGTATCAAGGTTGAGAACCTTTATTTATGTAGAGAATCCGCAGGAACTGGGATGTTCTTAGAGCAAAAAGGATGACAGGGAGATTGAGTAGAGTTGTTCAAAATTATGTAACATTCTGATAAAGTACATAAGAGAAAGTGTTTCCAATTATAGCATAGCTGGTAAATTGAGGACATGATTTAAGATATTTATCAAAGAATCAGAAGGAGACTGAGGATTTGATTTTATGCAGGGCAGCATGATCTGAAATGCACTGCCTGAAAAAGTGGTGGCATAGATTTAATTTAGTAGTAACTTCCCAAAGGCAATTGGATAGATATTTAGAAAGGCAAAGTGTGCAAGGCAATGAGGAAAGAGCAGGGAGAGTGGGATTAACTGGACAACACTTTCAAAGAACCAGCATAGCTATGATGGGCTGAATGGTGTCTTCCTCAGAATAAGATTCCATGATTTGTTATTTTGTTCTAGTACATTCATCTCTTGCCTCACACTTGAGGTTTATTGAATTTTTTTATCGTTTCTACAGTTCAGTTCCACACTGCCAGTCCAGATTAAGCAGCTTGGCCCAATCTTGTTGAGGGTTGTTATTGAAACAGGTCTTGTTTTTGAAATCTCTAAAGTGCAAGTTTTTGCTCTTTCTCCCATGCAGCAGAACAAAGTGTGCCTATGGGAAACAATTGACATTGAAAGCATTGATACAGATCAACTGTTCTTGGAGGACTCTAAGCCTTTGTGTTCAATCACCCACCAAGGTGACGTTATGGATCTACAGGTAACTGAAGTTGTGGTGCAGCTTTAAAAAGACTGCACAGCTCACCTCACTCATATTCCTTCTCCCACCCCCAAACAGATTCCATTTTAAACACCGCTACAATAATCTATTTGTAATTGGTACTTTTTCTAAGTCACATGGTATATCCTGTGTTGAACTTTCTTTGAAGAAATTGTGTTGGTTTCAAGATGAATGCTCACACCTTTTGGACCACGTGTGAGTTCAAGCTGGGCCAGAACTTGTAGCTTTAGTTTATTCTCAGAATCATAAAAATCCACAATACACAAGGAAGTCATTTGGCCCATTATGTCTGTCCTGACTCTTCAAAGGAGCAATTGTGCTTCACCCAACATCCCTGCATGTTTCCCTGTCATCTCCATTAGTTCCTCGTCCTCTGATCCTTGAACAACACCCTTTTGAAATTATTCATGAATCAGCGTCCACTGCGTTTTCAAGAAGATCCTTACAATTGAGTCAAAAACATTTTCTCCTCATTGCCTCTATAGATATCTGATTTTGAATTACAGACCCTAGTTATTCGCCTACTCACTGGAGACATTTTTCTCTGCTTTGTCAAAATCTCTCATTGGTTTTATAAAAACACTTCTTTGGCCACCTAAACTTAGATGATACAAGTGGAACAGTTCCAGTCTTTCCTCACAACCGAATTCCCCTGTTCTCTGCAACATTCTGGGAAAGCCTCATTGTACCAACCAGCACATCCACCCACCTTCCTTCCATCTCCCCACTCCAAATAATTCCTAGTAATGCAGTCTCTAAACACTTGACACGGCGGTTGCATAAAGACTTATTTGCTTATGTTAAATCTGACATAGGCAAATAATTTTGATTGTGAATAGTGATGTAACTATGCAAAGAGTTAAGTGCTGCCATAATTTCAGACCAAGCTACTGCACCCTCCATACCCAACAGAACAAGCTCTGCCCACAGCATTCAGCACAACATATGTGGGCACATAAGACCTGGACCTAGATAGTTTTTTGAAGCTGAATTCTTGGTGTAGGCAAGAAGGTCATCTCGAAAAGCAATAAAGAGTCATCCACACAATGTGAACTTTACCTGTGGCGAGGTTAATGGGTTTAATTTTCTGAAGAGCACTGGGGGATCAGTTGATAGCAAAGATGACCAAATAACTGTCACCTACCTCCATATAGACACTTCCAAATCTGTTGAATTGAATTTCAGATGCTAGTTAAATATATAACTGACTTTCCTTTCTTAAAAATCCAGAAAACCGTTCTTTATCATCATTCTTTTTGTTTGATCCCCACAAGAAGCTCTGTGATAAATCTGGGCCAGGACATTGCTGAAATTAAATTGCCAAAATGCAATCCATGCAGAACAGCCCTTTGAATTCCAGCAGTTAAAATCCATAAGGGTTGTTACAAGCAGTGAAGCAGCAAGGCCAGGTGGAGACTAATGCTGCTTCAAATCCCACCACAAAAGGTAGGAGAATGTAAGTTGAGTTAATTAATAAATTCTATTAATTAATAAATCTGGAGCTGAGACCTAATCTGAGTGATGCTATCCATGAAACTATTATCCATTGTCAGAAAAATCAGTAAGAAATCTGCCATCCTTATCCATCTGGCCTGCATGTGACTCCAGACACAGCAATGTTATTGACTCTGAACTGCACTCTGAAATGGCAGTACTACCCATTCAGTGGTATCAAACCACTGCAGAAAAGTCAAACCAGATTGACAGCAGATGTTAAAGAAGATGAATCATTTTGTCTTGGGATGGGCAACAACAACTGGCCTTTTCTACAAACACCCACATTCCATGAAAGAATATTTTTAAGAAGTAGATTCGCTGTTACAAATCAGAGGTATTTAAACTGTAGAAACACTGTGACCAGACGTAAGGAATGCTCAATGTCTACAGAGATTCAAAACAAAGGATCTAATGATTACATGGGGTACATCTTAGATTATATATGTGTGTTATATTTGTGTCTACATACAACTGCTGTCTACTGCACACTTTCTAGTTTTCTGTTGTAACATTCTTCTCTCATTATTTTCAATTTTCTTCCTTCACAAGTTCCTCCAAGTCCTAAGTCAACCAGTAACAAGATTAATTATGACTTGCATTCTTTTATAGTTTCTGGATCAGGAAAAGATTATTACCGCTTCTTCTACAGGAAGTGTCATTTTATTCCGTTATCATCAAAATGACCAGGTACAGAAATTATATATAGAAATTTTTACATGAGTATCCAAAATGATTGCAAATTTAATGCAGTGGGAAAGTTTGTTCAATGTTCTCCTGTTCTACATCATTAAATGTCATGATATTGATTTTACCATATTTTGTAGAATATAATCAATTGCTGAAATGAAAAAAAATGCCCATCCTTTACAGTTTCAAAATGGATGTAATTCATTCTTCAAAACAATGCATATTGGGTCTACCAGACCCCATGGCTGGTGTCATCGGTCTAATTCATGCACTTAAATTTTGTGTGTTTTCTGCACCACTCCCCACCATAGAAACTCTCAATCCTCCAGGAATGGGAACGTGCCCACTACTATTCCCATGGCAGTGCTCCCTGTACCAGCCTGGTCTGTAATGGTCCTGAGATCATCTCTGTCGGGGAGGATGGTCGGATTAACCATTTCCAAGCTGACCAAAAGGAACCTGTGCAGACTATAGGTGGGTATAAAGGAAATTTTAAAAAATTTTACAGTCTTGATAAAGAGACCTTAAGTTTATATAATGCCTTTCAGGACCTCCAAATGACCCAAAACACTTTACAGACCATAAAATACTTTTGAAGTGTTGCTGTTTTATTTTTGGAAGCATGTGGGGCTCTGCTGTGTGTAGGTTGGCTGCCAAACAACAATAAGATGATGTTTCTCCCGCCTCCAGGCAGGGAGGTCTGCAAGGGTGGCTAGGATGGGATGGTGGGTGCTTCGTAATAGGAGGGTGAATTTGAGGCTTTGGAGGGCTAGAGACACAATGTAAGGACAGAGGCAGAGGAATTTGGGGTGGGAGGGTCCACATTCTGAGGTGGATGGGAGGACCTCAGCACAAAGATAGAGTCTGAGATGGCTGTGGAGAGGTGGTGTAGGGGTGGATTCAGCAAGGGAGGAAATAAGCATTCATATTTGCATAATTATATGCTTTGTACTTGAGTTTAACACTGTCCATAATGTTTTTTAGTTAACCATGCATGGAGTGTTCTCCCTTTGGAATTTGTCTTTCTCATTGGAATGTGTCTATTCTGTATGTTCCGAATATCTCCTTAAATGTCTGTCACTAGCATCTCCATTGGGCAATAGCTTAATCCAAGTTGCCAGTCTACTTTAGCCATCATCTCATAACTTCACTTAAAATCCTAGTCTAGCACCTACCCTTACCTCCATCAAATTGAATGTAAAACAAATGATCCATTGGTAGCTGCTACTGAGGTATGCTTTCACTACAAGATCATTAGTTAATCCTACATTATTGCACAGTACCAGGTCACTGATATCTAAGGTGCCATAACTCTCAGGTTGTTAAATTAATCCTGTTACATTACACAAAAGGAAGTCTAATATAACCTGGTCTCAGAACATGCTGCTGTAAAAACCTATTTCAAAAGCATTCTATGAACTCCTCATTCAGGCCAATCTGATTTTTCTTTTTTTAAATATATATCCAGAAGCGCTATTATACATAACAGGTTTTTTAACACCAATCACCCTTTGTATTTTTATGTAAACTGATTTTTTAATACTATTTTTCTACCTTCTACAACTACTAGCACAACAGTCCTTGTTAGTTCCCCCAACGTGAATGACATCGCATACAGTCAGTTTGGTCATCCACCCTGCTGCCCAGTGCTTTCATTCAAATAGGGTGATAGAATCTCAAACTTAATGGATGATGCACAGGCTGACACTCCTGTCATCTGCCTTCTGCATCCCCTTATCTACACTTGCACAGTCACACCGTCCTGTTCCCTACTACTGACCCTACCCGAAGTGGTGCAATTACCTCAGTACAAAGAATCTAGGTAAATTTCATGCTCATTTTATGTATTACAGTGCCTGTATTTTAGCTTCCAGCTCTCAAACTATGAGCTAAAGCTGCTTGATCTTCAAACATGTTGACTGCTGGAATGTTTGCCCTAGATCACTATAGTATCCAGGAGCTCCCAGATGCTGCAGCCTTGACATATCACCTGAATTGCCATTCTTAATGAGTCTTAATTATTTACTTTATTATTCACTCACTTTTACGTTGTCTTCTATCAATTTTATTGATTTTACCATTCTGCTATGTTAAAATTTAAGAACAGAAAAGATCTTCAGCACTTAGCGGAGACTCACCCAACAGCACAGGAAGAACCAATTCCAATCAGCTCCAATGAATCTAGCTCTGTCTCTGGCTGGCTGCCATGAGGTCCTTTTCACACCTGCTCCTTCCAATGCTGCTGACTGACCGCCACCTCCCACAGATAAACTCTGAGCCAAAAATCCAATGTTTTAGAGTGGATTTGTAGCTCGGGTTGTAGATGTTGTGGTTGATTGGCTCGCCAAGCAGGTTCATTAACCTCATCAGTGCAGCCTCCGATGAAGTGCTGATGTTACCCAGCAGGGTAATGAAACGTCTGCAGAACAACGAACCATATCAAACTTCCAACAGCTGCAGACATATAGTGTAGCAATATCTGACATGGATCACACTCGCGTCCAGAACTTATCTAATATCTTTGTTATGTGTTAATTTATGTAATTTTAATTAATAACCCTTCTATAGCCAACAAGCTTTTTAAAAAACTGAGTAGATACTTTAGCAACACTTAAATGACCAACATATTCACCCAGCAATCACTTTCCTCTTTCCTGTGATGCCATGCTTGTTTTCTTTTCTGTCTCAAAGCAACCACTTCACAGACTGAGACTCGGCCCCAGGCCCAGCTCTTGCTAGAGATTTTGTGAAATCTCTGCTACTGCTGTCAAGCTGTTTAAACATACTTCAAACAATCTGCCAGTCTGACTGGTCATTCCTACTCATCAACAGTGACAATGACTTTAGCAAGCTTGCCTTCAGTTTAGTGTATGAGGCATGGACAATAGACTGTATAACCATGGCTTATTACCCCTTCTCCTTCCAGACAATGCTGACAGCAGTTCACTCAATGCAGTCACCTTTCTGCGAACTACAGAAATTTTGACAGTCAACTCAATAGGACAGTTGAAAGTTTGGGACTTCAGACAGCCAGGAAATAAACCTCGTCAGATATATTCTTTGTAAGTTCAACCATTTCTATTTTCTGTTCTATTTACAAAACAGTAACAGGTGATGCAAGACTGTGCAACAGGACAGAAAATTTACACATTTAATTGCAATTCTAGCCACATTTTAGAATGCTGTGTTTCTGTTGTATTCTTCAAAATCAAATGGTAGCAGGGAGAGAGACAGAGGAGCTATTTATATCCTTCAAATAAAAGCAAGTTACTACAGATACTGGACATCTGGAATAAAAACAGAAAATGCTGGAGAAACTCAGCAGGTGTGGCAGCATCTGTGGAAAGAGAAATAGTTTAATTTCTTGAGTCCGATCTGACGTTTTCTGTAGAAGACCTGGTTAAGAGCCAATCAAAACATTGTTGCTAAACATTTGTCCCTTAATTCAGAACTCATTGTGTGCATGGTCGTGTCTGCTTTCGCTCTCACTGTTCCAGGAAAACACAACTGTGTACAATTCAGTGTACTCCAGCAAACATTATTTCTAAAACTGCAGCCATTTCTTTGCACAGTTTCCTTCATTGTAAGAAGTATTTTCCTTTTTAGTGGACAGTCCAATAAAAGGAAATAAAAAGATGATGTTTTTACGGAGGGGAGAGCAGGGTATTCATCGTGTTACATTTGTTTCTTTTCAATAAACTGGAAGATCAACTTAATCAAGAAATCCTACTGTAATAGTCACAGCACCTGGTTGCTATCCATCTGCAAAAAAGGTACAATTCAGGTTAAAGGCTATCCACCCCAGCTCCCAACCGTTCAAAGACCTTCGTAATTAAAGGAGATAGGAGCCCTACCCTTCATTCTGAGCACTGAAGACACAGTTCCTTAAATCTGCAGTTAGTACTGGACATATCACTGCTGGTGCGGAATGTGTAACAATAACCTGAAAAGGTTGAACGTCTTTGCATAAGGTTGTACCATTTTCCACAATTATTTGCCTGAATCTTAATATTTTACAGGATAATATTAGTATTGATATTTTCTCCACAACCACCCTATGAAACCTTTTCATTATTTTAAGATCTCCAGTTAGTCTGGAACAATGATTGTTATAGCACAAAAATTATTAAGTGTTTCTTGTTAATGTCACTGTTTGTTGGTTCCCAGGACGGGTGATCGGGTGCCACTGCATTGCGTAGACAGACATCCGAACCAGCAGCACATAGTAGCGACAGGTGGACAGGATGGAACATTCTGTATCTGGGATGTCAGACAAGGAAGTGTACCCATCTCTTTACTGGATGCTCATTCTGCAGAAAGTATGTTTGTTGTTATATTTCCCACCTTCTAACATCTTGAATTTCGAGACTAGTTTTTGATCTCTGGTGAACTTGAGTTTTAAGGTCAATTCCATCAGTCTTGTTTTTCAGACTGTTTGGGAGGGGTAGGGCAATGATCCAGAATTGACACAGCGGCTGTACAGTAAAATGAATTTACATTTCATTGAATTATTTTCAGAAGTGCCTTTATTTAGAGTGGTAAGAATATGGAATGAGATACCACTGGCGGTTTTGAGACAAATCCTATAAACGTATTTAAGGGGAAGCTAGATCACTGCATGAAGAGAAAAGAAATAGAAGAATATGCTGAGTGGGTGAGATGAATGAAGCTCAGGAAGAGACACGTGCAGTGTGAATATCAGCACTGTCAAGCAGTTCCATAATACATAAACCATTTATAAGTCTGGACACTGCGCTATGTTTACAATACATTTTGAAGGACTTTTAATTATAAATTAACACTTGGGCCATACTTGCACAAACACCATTGATAGTGCAGAATTACCAGTGAGTAAGTTATTGATGATAACTGGTCGCTTAATGGTAGTTTTATGTCAGGGTGTCTTCCTGCTTCCCTGTAGCATACACATTTGAGTTCTCATTTCATCTGTTTTGTTTTGAATGTTACAAGCATTCAAGTACAGAGTCTTTAGTTTTGTCCTTTTATTATTTTTGTAACCTCTAGCCTTATCTGTTGATTTATTCTTACATTTGTACTTTCATGACCTTGTCTGTACTCAGATTTACCACATCATCTCAAATTCAATCCCTTACCTCCACAACTTAAGTTAAAACCCTCTCTACTTCCCTGGTTCTGTAGTGGTTATCCCAGTACTGGTGTCAATGTCCCCACAAACCGAACACTCTTTTCCATACTGATCGACCTATCAGATGTAGACTAGGTGATCACCTTGCAGAACACGTCTTTCTATCACAAGAAACAACACCTCATTTTCCACACACACACGTGTGTTTGGGTTTGCCCTTCAATGTAGTTCTGCCATTAACATATATTCTTAACATCTACTCCTGTGCTATATCTCTTTTCTACTGCCATTAGCGCAGCCATTGTCTTTCTCTGGCTCTTGGAACCCTTCCAATCTGTTCCACTTGTTAAAATGAGGGGAGGAGGAACAGTATACAATCCATTCTTTTCCAACTTCCTTCAGTTTCACAGAAGAGTCATACTGGACTTGAGTTGTTAACTCAGTTTCTGTTTCCATAAATGCTGCCAAACCAGCTGACCAGTACTTTGTATGTACTGCAACTCAAATGATCCATTTATACCTCTGCTTCACACTAGCAAACCAATCCTTTATCTGTGAAAATGTGTTACCCTGTAAACTTTTTGCAGCAACTGTTAATGTGGTACTTTGTCAAACATCTTTTGAAAATCCAAGTGCAGCACATCTGCAGGGTCCTTCTTATCCACTGTGTTACTTTGTCAAATAAACTCTAGTAGATTTGTTGAATATGATTTCCCTTCAGTCAGCCCATGTTGCCCTGATCAAATTCTGATTTTCTAGGTATCCTGCTACAACCTCAACAGCTAACTGACCGATTGTTTCCTTTAATCTGTCTCTTTTCTTTCTTGAGTAACAGTGTTCCATTTGCTATTTCCCAATCTATGGGGACTCTTCCAGAATCTAAATATTCCTGCAGGATTATAATCAATGCATTTACAAACTGTACTGCGTTTTATTTTAAAATGCTCAAATGCAGGCCATCTAGTTTTAAGTGACTTATCAGCCTTTAGGTCCACCGGTTTTCCTCGTATCATTTCCTTGGTGATGGTAATTAATTGGAGAGTCATGTAGCACAGAAACAGATCTTTTGATCCAACTTACCCATGCCAACCCAGGTTTCCCAAACTACACTAGTCTTATTTGCCTGCGTTTGGCTCCTGTCCCTCTGAACCTTTCCTTATCATGTACTTGTCCAAATGTCTTTTAAATTTTGTAACTGAACCCTCTTCCTCTGGCAATTCATTTCACATACAAACCACCCTGCTTGTTTAAAAGTTGCCCCTCAGGTCCCTTGTAAATCTTTCTCTACCCACCTTACCCTCTAGTTTTGGACACCCCTACCCCTAGGGAAAAGTCCTTTGTAATTCACCTTATCTATGCCCCTCATGATTTTATAAAACCTCTATAAGGTGGCCCTTCAATCTCCTACGCTCTTGGGGGAGAATAGTTCCAGCTTATCCAGCCTTCCCTTATAATTCAAACCCTTCAGTCCCGGTAACATTCTGGTAAATCTTTTCTGAACCCTTTCCAATTTGATAACATCCTTCCTATAGCACGGCAACCAGAACTGTATACAGTATTCCAAAAGTAGCCTCAGCAACATCCTGTACAGCTGCAACATGACATCCCAACTTCTATACTTAATGCATGAAGTTCATTCCTCCCTATCACTTCTAACTATCTTTGGGAAGTTTTCTAAATCTTCTAGAATAGAGACAGGCACAAAGTGCCTGTTCAAAGACTGCAGCCTGTGTTTTTCATCATCAATTCTCCAAACTCTGTCTTAACTTGATCAACAATAGCCTTAGTAATTCTTTTCGTGTTCAAATACTTGTAGAAAATCTTGCTGTCTGTTTTTAGATTGTTGGCTAACTTTCTCTCATCACTTGCTTTTTGCCTTTTTATTACCTTTTAGTTATTCTTTACTTGTTCTTAAAGTCTGTCCAATCCTCTGACCTACTAATAATCTTTTCATATCTGTACAGTATTTCTTTCATTTTAATGCTAACCTTCCTTACTTAGCCATGGATGATCCATCCTTGTCAACGAACTTTCTTTCCCGCTGGTATAAATCTCCACTGGAAGTTATTAAATGTTTCCTTAAAAATCTGTCATTGCACCTTAACTAACCTACCTAACAATCTAGTTTCCTAGTTTGCCTTGGCCAGCTCTGCCTTCATACACTTACAGTTACTTTATTTAGGTTTGAAACACCAGTCATAGGTCCACACCTCTCCCTTTCAAACTGAACATGAAATTATCATGTTGTGATCAGTGTCACTTAGAGGCTCCTTTACCATTAGGTCATTGATTAATCCTGTCTCATTGCGCATAAGCAGGTCTAGAACAGCCTGTCTCCTGGTTTGATTAAGAATCCAGTGGTCTAAAATAATTGTCTGAAATCACTCTATGAATTCATTTTCTAAGATACCTTTGCCAATCTGTCTCTCCCAATCCACACAGATTAAAATTACCCATAATTATTATGGTACATTTCTTACACACCCCTTTATTTCTTCCTGTTTACTCTAAACCTCAGTGTAACTACTGTCTGTGGGGCTTCTAAGAGACCTGCAACAGACTACTTTACTATTTTTTTTTACTTCCACCCAAACTGTTTCTTTATCTTGGCCTTTTAAGTTGAGGTCTGCTGTCAAACTCACACTACTCTTAATTACCACAGGGACCCTGTCAACTTCCTATATTCACTTCAGTATGATTTAGGTCACAGCCTTGGTCACCTTTCAGATATGTCTCTGTCAGGTCATATGTATTTATCTCCATCTGTGTCGACACTTCATGTCTTTTATTACAAATGCTGCATGCATTCAGATACAGGGGCCTTAAACTTCTTGTTTTGCCATTTTTACAATCTGATGCACTCTGTATTTTCTGTCCCTTCCTGCCACACTCTCATAATCATTGGCCAAATTGCAGTCCTGTTCTATTGCTTTTTGTTTCCCTTTACCATATCTCTCTTTTTACATTTAGTTTGAAGCCATCTCTACTGCCCTGTAATGATACAACACTGGTCCCAGCATGGTTAGTTCCAAATTAAGAATAGTGTGTGCGTGCAAGGTTTCTATTGTAAACAAGAATGTGTATTTATGCCTTTAACATCATAAAACACTCCACAGCAGCTTGATCAAAATTTTGACATCAAACCACATGAGCTATTAAGAACTGGCTTTAAGGTTTGAGGAATGTCTTGAAGGAGGACAGTGGTACCAGAGAGTCAAAGAGCTTTAGGCAAGAATGGCAGGTTTAGGACCTAGACAGATGAAGATACTGTCACACCTAACTATGGTAATGTGCTGAAAATCAAGCCCTGCTAGTCCCAGAATCAGCACAAAATTTAAAGATTTTGAAAAGTATGCAAAAATTCCCCAATTTATCAACTTTTTTAGACCCAAATTGACAGAAAGCACGGACTAGGTTTTTGTACTTAATAATAATATTACTACTTATTAGAAATAAATAGACTTCAGCTGTAGGTAAACAATTATCAACCATTGGCATACAACTCTACCAGTTAAAAGTCTAACCCCTTAAACTCCACCTTACACGCAAACAGACATAGACAGGAAAAAACCATAGCTTTTTTGAGAAGATTTGTAGCTCGGATTGTGGATGAGGTTGTAGACTTGCTCACCATGCCGGTGTGTTTGATTGCAGATGTTTCGTCACCCTGCTAGGTAACATCGAGAGTGCGCCTCTGGTGAAGCATTGATGTTTTGTCCAGCCTGTTATTTATATGCCTCGGTTTGCATGGAGTGGTTACAAATCTTCTCAAAAACTTTTGACACCTACAGGCACAACACCCTGAAACTGGCCCGCAGATGGGAGACTGGAAAGGATGCCAACCACCCCAGCAAACTGAAGCATATAAATAACAAACGGGACAGAACACCAATGCTTCACCGGAGGCACACTGACGATGTTACCTAGCAGGGTGACGAAACGTCTGCCACTAAACACACCAGCTCTACAAAAAATCATAGTTATTATAAACAGAGGGAAAACTGGGAAAGTAGTTCAGTGGTCTCTATTCATAGGATCTACTGAGATGGTTCTTGTGCTAATCAGAACAATACTTTTCAATCTTCCTTCTCTAGCCGCATTTATTGGTTTGTAGGAGGCACAGGATGGTTGGTCCACACTTAAAAACAGTCTCCGACTCACAATTTAAAAGTCACAGATTGAAGCAACTGCTAAAGGAAGAATATTGAGCTTACAGTAGCTTTTACTGCAGAAAGCAGAGAAAACTGTTGAGCTAGTGGAGGCTTGATGGCTTATCATTATCTTGTTCATTGCCCCAAGCTGTTCAGCTACCTGAGAACCAATCACGTAATTGTTGGTAAGCAGGAGATCTTTGCCATAAATGACTGGCTATCAGTCCACAGACCACTCAGCTACTTGTTGCTGGCTGAATCTCCATTTGAACATAGTTCTCCACTCCAGCCGATCTGCAACCTATACTTCAACTACTGCTTGAACAAGCAGCTGTGTAAATAACAGTTACAATGATTATATGCTTTCAAAGCCTGCTGTACTACTTCAGTAATCCTTGGCTTTGAAACATTTCTTTCCCATTTCAGACCAAAATTTAAAAAATAAAAAGAGCGGTCTTTACATATGTTCATCATTGGAGTGATTAAAGCCATGGTGCACAAGAAACCAAAGGCAAAGGAGCACAGAGAACTTTATAAGATGTTACAAAGTTATGGAGAACCAAGGCCTTGGAGAGATTTGAAAGCAAGGATGAATGTTTTAAAAACTGGGTTTGGCCAATGCTGAAGGCCATTGTTGGGCAGGGAGCGTGGAAGTGATGAATGAAAATGACATGGTGTAGGTTAAGATGGGGCAATCAGAATTTTGAATGAACCTGTGAAGGTTGCAAGATAGGAAACTGGCCATGACAACATTGGAATAGTCAAACCAAAACATGTCAAAGCCATGATGAGGTTTCAGCAGAAGTGAGCATCCAAAGTGAAATTATGATAGTGACTTCAATCTTTCAGACATTCCAAAGGATAATATTTCTGCTTTTTTGACATGCAGGACGCGCAGTACAACAAATCAGCGGTAATTGATGATGATATATCAGCTGCGTTTAACTATTAATTGAGGTTTAACTCCAAGTACCTTTATGACACTTTTGACTTTTGGGCTTCTTGTGACAGTGGTATTGTCCTTACTTTTGGGTCTGAAGGTTCAGATTCACATCTTACATATTCCAGTGATGTGTCATGACATGTCCAAGCACATTGATTAAAAATAATTAAGGTGCTGTTGTGGTGCAATGGTAGTGTTCCTTCCTCTGATTCAGAGAGTGTGTGTCTAGGTCTCACCTGCTTTGGAGGACTGTCTTAACATATTCTTATAAGTTGATTTTTAAAAAAAGATATGAAGAAACAAAGAAGAGTCTTATGGTATAATACTGGTAGTGTCTATACCTCTGGGCCAGAAAGTCCAAGGATGAGTTCTGCCTTGGGATGTGACGTCAGGAGGTGTGTCATAACACATCCAAACAGAGTCAAGTTTCTTTTTCCTCAATCAATCGTATTGCAATTTCAGAGGTATTTATTTACCGAGGAACACACTACAAGACTGAATAAAGATTGGTAAAGAGCTTTTCAGAATAGAACACTAGAAATATAGAGAAAAGTAATGTTGAGATAGAAACATTTGTCACTAGTGTATGTGTAGAACCTGACTTGTTTTCAAGTAACGTCACAACATAATTTTCTATGGTTCTCTAAAAATTCATTTAGAATGTCATGAAGTTGTGAAATGTTCTCTAGAAATGTTTTTTCCTTTGCTAATTAGTGGGTTACATTCTAGTATTCAACACATGAAATCACCTTTTAAGTGCATATGTCTCTGAATCTTGCATTTGTCACAATGTCCTCGCCTATTTCTCTGACCTGATTTTAACTTTAAAGTGAATGTATTTACTTGTAGCATGACCTCCTTAGATCTGGCCTTGAGCAATATTTTGAAACCTCAAAGGCCCAATGGAGTAACTAGCACTGAACCCAGAGAGCTGACTGGCCTCCTCCTGTACTATAATCTTAATGTGCATCTTTTAGATAAGCGATGAGCATGTGATAAATGAACTGAGTCATTGACCCCTCTGTGTGCAATATGTAATAGCTTGTCATGGATGCATTTCATTTGTTGCAGATTTGTTGGGTAAAATGGCAAAGTGCAAGCTTCTGATTGTATGTCCTATTTAATTAACAGTGTGGGAAGTTCATTTTCACCCCTCCAATCCTGACCATGTGTTTACTTGCTCCGAGGATGGGTCACTGTGGCATTGGAATGCTTCCGTTACCGCGCCTGATCTGCCTTCCTTTCTTCAACAAGGTATGAACCATGTCGCTGATATTTCTGGCATTGTTTAGGATATTAAACCCAATATTTCATCCCAGGTCAGCAGATTTTAAGTGAAGATTTATTTTTATTTAAAATAAAAAATAGGTGGGGAAAGTAGTGGAAAGAAGTACGTTGATTTGGAAGGGTGACTTCATTCTTTGGGTTATGAAAACCTCCTTCATGATATCCCAGCTCAGCTTAGAGAGGCCAGAGAGAAAATGAGAGCTGCCACAACTGTTCACCTTAGCACTTGTCCTCAAACTTTGCTGGAACTGCTCTCCTATGCACAGGAGACACCTATCATGTTCATATCTTTCTCTGGCTCTGCCTGTGCCCTCCCTCTGACATGTACTCTTCATCACTGACAGTTTGCCTTTCTTTTCCCATTTTAATATCCAGCGGTGTGTGCTCTCTCTTGTCTATCTTTCTCTCAAAGGTTTCCTTTTCTCTTAAATCCCTACCCCTTCCCCTTTGACATGTATGCTTTTTCTCATCCATCATCATTCAATGTATTTATATATCGCCTTTAACTTTACAAAATATCCCAGGGTGCTCCACAGGGCCATTGTCAATCAATATCTGAAACAAAGCATATAAAGAGATTCTAGTGCACTTGATCAAGAAGGTAGATTTTAAGCAGTGTATTAAAGCAGAAAAGCAAAATCAAGAAGTTGGGAAAGGAATTCTGGCAACTGAAGGCAGACTCTGTTGTATTCTCCTTGCTTTGTTTCACTGTCACCCTGCCACCCCGCTTTCCCTTCCCTGCTTCTCTTGCTGTCTGAGCTTTCTTTATTCATTAATGTGATATGGTTGTATCAAACAGGCCAACATTTATTTCCTATCCATAGTTGCCCTTAAGTTGGTGCTACTAAGAATGTGCAGTGAAGCCACCTACTTGACAGCTAACTGGCTTGCTGGGTTCTTTTCATCTAGCTGTTACATAGCTGTAGACCTTGCTATAATACCTGTTGGCATCAATAACTTCAAAAAGGATATGTGAATTCCAATGACCAACTGAAAATGTTGCACAATGAGATTTTGAATTTTATGACTTTGTTGTAAAAGTACTGTAGTAAATTGAAACAACATTGACAAAACACATTTTTAGATAGCAGTGTTTGCTGACACCAGCAATTGTGGGTAACTAGGCATGTATGCTAATTCTGGAATGTGCACGTTCATAATTCCAAACACACTACATCATGTAGAATTTACATGTTATGTCATACACAAATGCAGCACTGCACATGGGCATAAAAACACATGCTTTTGAAATGCCATTCAGCAGTGGGGAGAAGGGACAGAGGATGGAGAGGTGACTCCCTCAGAGTCAGGAGGGCTCAGAGGTTTGATGGTAGGGAGAAGGTGGCAGAACCACCCCCTCCTCTTCTCCTCCCCCCCCTACCACTCCCCCACAATGACCTGCTCTCCCCCAAAAACCATTTGTAGGCACATGTGCTGTTTAAAGCAATACATAGTCTTTTTCGGCAACATGTGAACTGCAGTAAACATGGATCATGTGCCTTTAAGACAACTGATAATACCACACTAAGGCAATACATTTCTTTGTCCCTTGAGCAGATATTTTAGTCTCCTGGAACCAATCCAAAGCTATTTGCTACTTCCAGTGCCCCATTGATTTTCCTTATCAAATGTGGTACTTTCTAATCCAGAACTGACTTTCATTGTGAGGGTTACATTGGAGAATTCGTTAAGCCAAAAAGAGACAAATTTTTCAACCTCATTCAAATCCTCAAACGTAAATTTGTATGGGTTTTTGTATCCAAGTAAAAATAATAACTAGCTATCCTCTAGACCCTGGCTTTGAATTAAAAACACATATATCAACTTAGGGGAGATGATGGCTTTGTGATGTCACTGAATTAGTAACCTAGAGGTCCAGACTAATACCCTGGGGGCCTGTTTCAAATTCCACCTTGGCAGCTGGTGGAATTTAAATTTGAGTAAAAATATGTAATATAAAACAAGTGTTAGCAATGGTGACCATGATTGTCATAAAAACCCACTTGGTTCAGTACTGTCCTTTTAGATACACAAACCTGACATGGTCTACATGTGGCTCCAGGCAACAGCAATGTGGTTGACTGCTAACTGCTCTGTGAAGTTGCCTAGCAAGTCCCTCAACTTGAGGGCAATTAGAGAAAGGCAATAAATTCTGACCTTGTCAGCGATGTCCATGTCTTATGAAAGAAATAAACAATTAAACATGATACTCATAACACCTCTCTCTGAGAATTCAAGACTTATCAACAGTAGATAGATATGTGAACATCTCACATCTCTGTCCGAATATATTAACCATTGTTCTCTTTAAAAAGAACAAAGACATACAGGCTTGTAACTGGGCAGAATCCAGACCAAGCCATGGAACCGTCTTCATTCTTCCATTTTACTGAAAGAAAAGAGACAGCTCAAAATTATGACAATCATATAAACCTTGTATTGTGCCAATCAGAACCAAATCTGAGTTCAAATTGCTTTTAAATTCCAAAATTTATTTTATTAATTGAATTTGAAATCTCCAGCTACTGTGGTGAGATTTGAATATATTTTTTTCCTAACGTTTACTCCAGGCACAATGGTCCAAGAGACCTCTTTCTGCATTGTAACAATTATGAGATCGATTCTGTGGCCTATGTACTACGGTACCAGTAACATGCTGTTCCTGATTCTGAGCAATCTAAAAGTAATATTCCTTTACTTTCTGAATTAGAAACTGCCTCTAGATTGAAAGATACCCTGTACCTAAGATGGCGCCAAAGCAGCAACATTACAAACTTTTCACTGCATTTGAGTGCACGTGACAATAAAGCTAATTCAATTCAGAAAATGTGTTGTTTTGCTGGTGTGACAGTAAGTATAAGTATGACAATGCATCGAGTTTACACCAGACCAAGCTCATGGCTGCAATGGGAAGAACAAATTGTAGAGAGACAGGACAATTGTTTAATAATTATGGTTCTGAAAATTGTTAATTGCACAGCAAATGCTCTGTAGAACAAACTTTTATTGTAATACATACAAAACATTATTCTCATTGCTCTCCTTTTCTGCATTTTCTTAGGTAGAAGAAACTTCTCAATTAGTGGCTCAGGTGCCAATGTCGACTTAAACCAATCAGTGACCTGTGCCTGGCTCACCATGGATGCTGCAAAAGGCAGAGTGGACATCAATAACCTTCTGTCTGCTTATGTGCTTTCAGTGAATAGTTTAGATGTTGTGGGAGATCATTTAGTATGTGGAACAGATGGAGAAGCTGTCTACCTTACCCGTAATCTGGAGCTCCGATAGGCAAATCATACAACAAACCTTGATAAACCGCAAATGTAAATTCCTGTACATGTACTGTTATTCTTAAAACCAAATACTTGTCAGGCTGAGTGTGGCACAAAGACAAACACAAATACATAACTTTTTTTAAAAAATAAAGTACTATCATTAAAGTTGCATGGGTTATATTTTGTTTAAAGCATTGATTTTTTACCTAAACTATCTAAAAGTGGACTCAAATCCACATCTTTTAATAGCAAATTTATATCAAGCCATGATGGATTTCTCTGATTACGTACTATAAAATTCACTTGTCCAAGTGCAAGTTTTGCAAGCTTCTGTGATACAACTTGCGAGATGCTAACCTGGAAACACAAAGCTCTTTTGGAACTATATCACTTGTTGATATGAATAAAGTTTCTCCCCACACTATGAGCATCCAGTGGTCCCGCACTGTCAGTTTGCAACTGGGATTTGTAGAACTTTGCCACTGATTTGGAATCTGATCTGATGAGGGTGCATGTTGGAAATCAAGATCCAAGAATGTTTTCTGATTAATAATTCAGCTGGTAGAAACTCACAAATATCAGGTCTTTAGGTTATGACATTCTTGCCTTTGAGTCAAAATCATTGGTTTAAACCCCATTCTAGGAATTAAGCACATTATTTACAACAGCTTCATCTATGTAGTGCCTTTTAATGTAATACAACATCCCAAGAGTTCTTCCATAAACAGTGCAATCTGACAAGTATATGACACTGAGCACAAGGAGGAGGCATCTGGACTAGTGACCAAAAAGAAGGTATATTTTATGTAGTATCTTAAGCAACTGAATGAGGTTTAAAAAGGGAGCTCCCAAACTTGTGTGGAGGGGTCTGAATAACTCAAGATATAACCATTAATTGACAAGTGAAAAGAATGTAAAAGAGTCCAGAGTTGGAGGAACTCTTTAAGATTTTGAATGTTGTAGTCTTGGGGGATGTCACAAAAATAGAGAGGAATTTTAATGCTTACGATGAGATTTTTTAAATCAAGGCATTACTGAATTGGGAGTGAGAGTAGGTCAATGAACAGCAGATGCATGTGATTTAGGTATGTGTTAGGATACAGACAAAAGAATCTTTGATAAACTGAAGTTTATGTAGAGTGCAAGATGGCAGACCCACCAGGACATCATTCAAATAGGCAGAGAGAATTGTTTAGATTGTTGAAAGTGCCTTTGTGGAAACAATAGAGATGGCCATATTTGAAAAATAGTATAGAGCTGTTTCTTGGTGTCCTGGGCTACATCAAAAACTGGTTATTTGTCATTTATTATTTACTGCTTATTGGAGCTCATTGGCTACCAAGTTTGACTTTACAACAGTGACTGCTGTTCAAAAGCAAGTACTTTGCCATGTTCACTTAAACTTACTTTTTGGCAAGGTACTACTGCGTGGTCATCATCTAACAGCTTCCCAAATGATTGCCTGATATGGCACGTGGTAACTAATGGTATCAGCTATACTATTGCACAGGAGATGCACATTATGCTGGATTTGTTGCTGGAGCATTGTGGTAAATTTACTGATGAAAATATAAAGGAAAGATGAGCAGCTGGATAATGGAGCCTATTATATGCATTTCTGCCCCACCAATTAGCTTTACAATCTCCTGCAAGGAACAAAATGTTGCAAGGTTAAATAAATGTGCCATCTGATGGTGCAGTCCCATGATGTGTGTCATCCAGGATGCCACCAGTTAGCAGTGATGTTTGTCTACTTCCTTACAGAAAAGGGTGGCATAAATTTTAAAAGCTTTGGAAAGACTCAAAGCATCACAATGTATTTGATGACTTTTGACAAGGGCAAAAGGAGAAATCACTAAGAGGTGAAGATAAAATCCAAAGTGAAAGGAAGGGTACACGCAGGGGAGTATGGCCATGGAAATTATGCCATGTTATGAGGAAACCAACCATATAATTATCTCATGAAGCATATACTTGCCCTCAACTGTCAAACATACCGTTGATTGTTGTACTGTCCTGTCACTTGCAGGGGGAAATGTTTGATTGTGTCACACTAGATATGACAAAAATGGTGGTGGTTGATCTATTGACTGTGGAGGTTGGTGAGTTGAGTAGATGAGGATAACAGGAACAGTGAAAGCACAAGTATGGAAAATTGTACAAACCTGATCGAGACCACTGTTACAGTGGAGAGAATCCTTGGTTGAGGATAAAGGAAGATGCAGTCAGTTGCACTGGAATGGAAGATGCAATTATCAGAGCAGATGTAATCCTTACTGTGTCATGACAAACTGGGGTGTTATGCTGATAATCAAGACCTATCTTTCCTGAGTTGCGACATATGTGAAAATATTAAGAATACTACCAAAAATCCCAATATCCCTCTCACTGACTGCTACCCAGGATAAAATCAAACCAAAATAGGTTCCTTCAGTAACAATAAAAAACGTGCTTTTTGTTGTAACAATCTTACCTTTAACAAGAAAAGTAAAAGAACAGGATTTCTCCTTTATACAACATTTCTCTGTCAAACCCCTTAGAGTCAGTGTTATACTGTAACCTGACCAATAGGTGGCTTGTCACTATGTTGAGTTCTCCCGAATCCACAACAACAGCGTGGTGGAATCTGGAATTCCCTGCCTATCAGGGTGGTAGAGGCAGAAACCCTTATAACACTTAAGAAATATTTGGACGCACACTTGTGATGCTAGGGCATATGAAGATATGGGCCAAGTGCTGAAAAATGTGATTACAGTAGTTTGATGGTTGTTTTTGACCAGTACAGTTGCAATGGCTGAAAGGGCTTTTTTTTTGTGCTGTCGACTTCTGTGACTATGACTCAATAAGAGAAGGCTAGAAATTGCAGTGAAGTTTGTTTATTTTTCCAGTTCAAAGGTGATTGGGAAACTGCATCAACATATTCATCAACGTACCTGTAAAAAGAGGGATGGGGAGGGGCCTGAGTAAGACTAGAATGTTTCATAATCCCATAAAAGGAAAACATGCCGAGGACAAGGTGGGGTTTGCCATATAACACCACCACTCCTGTGAGCTGGTTTGATGGTAATGTAAAGATTGGCCTTGAATGGATAAAATGCTGCATGTGCAAAAGCACACAGTCAGAGTGAGTGAAAGGAGCAGAGAAGTTGAGATGGTCAATGTCACACTGGCAATTCTCAATTAAAAGATCTCGAGAAAGTAAGAAGGTGGAAGAAAGGGTCCAGCAAGGGCGAATAATGAAGATTTGTAAGAGGATCTCCTGTGCTGGGTAGAACCATGACCAAAGCAATGAGCACGGGGTGAAACCAAGGGAATAGGAACCTCTATGTCAGTATGAGCATGAAATTTGCATGAGATGGTGGATGGAACTATGACCTTTCCTGAGGAAAAATTGTTCAAAGTGAGAGATGGGAGTTGTAGGGGATTATGGTGAATGTATGATGAGGGGTGAAATTAGAAGAAGGATGAATCAGAAGGAAATGATAGGGAAGAAGAATCCTGAGGGGTAGCACTACTCAGGAGTTGTTAAAATTTATATACTTGAGAGGAAGAAACAGTTTTTAATTTGTTGAAATCTAGGAGGATAAAGTGAAAGGGTGGACCAGGGCAGATTTGAGATAGTTATCATTGAAAAGTACGTATTGCAGTTTATAAGAAATATGAGTAGGATGTTCGTCCCCTCAAGCCACTATTCTACTAGATCATGGCTGATTGGCTAAATAAAAGCAAAATACTAAAGATGCTGGTAATCTGAAATAAAGTGCTGGAGAAACTCAGCAGGTCTGGCAACATCTGTGGGGAAACAGTTAACTTTCTAAGTCTGATGTGAATTCTTCACAACGGACTTAAAACGTTAACTCTGTTTCTCCCTCCACAGATGCTGCTAGAATTAAGTTTCTCTAGCATTTTTTTCTTTTCATTTCTTGACTGATCTGCCCCAGGCTTTAACTCTTCTTTCATGTCAGTTCTAGATGGCCCTCAACTATCAACTGTCTGGTCTAGAGAATTCCAGACATTCACTACACTATGAAAGAAAAAATTCCTTTGCATTTAGTTTTAACAGAGTGTCCCCTTATTCTGTAACTATGTTCCCTAGTTTAAGATTCCCCAATTAATGGAAACATCTTCTCAACATCTAACCTGTCATCCCCCTCAAATTCCTGAACGCTACAATAAGATCATCCCAGACTCTTCTAAACTCTAATGCATGCAGGTCGAACCTGTTTAGCCGTCTTTGACATGTCAACCCCTTCATCACAGGAATGAGCCGAGTGAATCTCCTCTGAAACCTCCAATGCAAATATAGATATTTCCTAATCAACCTGTTCAGAGAAGCTATTACACACCTCTGGAGCAGATGGGAGTTGAATTTGGGCCTCCTGGCTCAGAGATAGAAACATTGTGTCACGAGTCCTGCTTCCAATGCCAGTATATACTATTTTAAATTACAGGGGCCAAATCTATACACTGTTATGGGTGCAGCCTCACCAACAATTCAGTTGCAACAAGACTTTCCTATTTTTAAACACCAACCCACTGCAATAAAGGCCAATATTCATTTTGCCTTAGTGAGACCACAAGAAATAGCAACAGACTGTTCAGCCCTTCAAGCCTGCTCCACCATTCAATAGGATCATGGCTGTTCCCACATCCTCACATTCACTTTTGTGTTTTCCCTGTAACCCCTGGTTCCCATTCTGATCAAGAATTAAGTCTTAAACATACACAATGTATCTGCCTCCACAGTTCTATGGTGAGGATTTCAAAGATAAAGAACCTCAGAGAAGAAATTCCTCATCTCAGCCTTAAACTGGTGCCCATTTATTCTGAGATTATGCCCTCTGGTCCTAAGCTCTCCCATGAGGGGAAACATCCTATCAGCTTTAACTCTGTTAAGCCCCTTAAGAATCTCGTATTTTTCAATGAGATCACCTCTCATTCTTCTAAACTTCAGTAAGTACAGGCCCAAATGGTTTAGTCTTTTCTCATAAGGCAATCCCTCCATACCAGGGATAATCCTATTGAACCTATTGAAGGGCCAACATTCCATTAACTTTCCTGATTACCTGCTGCACCAGGGTGCTAGCTTTCTGTACTTTATGCATAAGTTCCTTAGTGCTGCAGCTTTCTGCAATTTTTCTCCATTTAAATAATATTCTGTTCTT